GAGCATCATTATAAAACTCATGGCTCGGACTCTGATTTCCTTGCCAAGCATTCACCGCCCAACTCCATCGTTGTTGAGGCCACTCAGTAAAAGTCTCGTACCTGATCATCGGCTACGCCTACTGATAAAGAAGGAAAGAAATCAGACACCTTTAGAAAAAAAGCTGTACTCTTTTGCTGCAATGCTCATAAAAACTGCCAACTACCAAGCCGCCATGGGCGCTTACCAGAAGCACTTGTGGGACAGGATTGTTCCAACGTTCCAATCATTGCCTGATCCTGTTAAAACAGATGCTCTCAACATTTATGAAGAAGTGAATACCCTTACCAGACAGCAAAGATTTGCTGCGAAACGTACAGCTGACATCGCTTCTAAATCCATGCTGACTGCCATTGCCATCAGACGCCAAGCCTGGCTTCGAACGGCCAATATCTTGGATGACACCAAAACTAAAATAGAAGAACTTCCTTTCAATGCCATTGGACTCTTCAACACTAAAACTGACAAAACTATGGATAATATCCATAAAATGAGAAAGACAGCAAAGTCCTATGTACCATACCAGCTGTATAGGTACCAGGAGCAAGCATACAGAAAACCACAATACCAGTCATCCACTCAGTATCAACTCCCACGGTACAGCAAACAACAACAGGACCGCACTTACCAGACGCAGCAGTCCACAACACCGCTGTTTAAGCAACAATGATTCCGCACCCCTAAGCAGTCCTTTCATAAAACTCAGCATAGGGGTAAGCATTTCTCATAATTCCCCTTCTCATACACAACTGTCTCCATTCCTACAAGAATGGAAAAACATCACTACTGATACGTGGGTCCTCAGTATCATTCAACATGGATACAGGATAGAATTTTGCTGTATTCCCCCATCAAATTCGATCAAACCTACCTCATTCTCTGCAGCACTGCATCTGGAAATTTCATCCTTGCTATCCAAAGGGGCCATAATTCAAATTTAACCCGACAATACCGATGGTTTTTTCTCCCACTACTTCGCAGTCCCTAAAAAAGATGGAAACATCAGACCCATCATGGAACTGAGAGACCTCAACCGGTACATATTTTACAAAAAATTCCGTATGCTCACTCTTGACTCCATTCTTCCCCTCTTGTCGCAGGGAAACTGGTTCGTCACCATCGATTTACAGGATGCCTACTTTCACATCTCCATCCACCCATCTTATCAAAAGTTTCTCCGGTTCCACCATCAGACCTTCCAATTCACTGCTTTGCCCTTTGGGCTATCTACGGCCCCCAGCACATTCACAAAATGCATGGCGCCAGTTGTCGCCTACCTATGAACCCAAAAAAGATTTTTCCTTACATCAATGATTGGCTTCTCGTGGCTCAATCCTACCACAAAGCTCTTTCGGCCACAAGATTCACCCTCTCCTTCCTGAACAAATTAGGCCTTCAAATCAACGAGAAAAAGTCCAACATCATACCCTCCCAGCTAGTCCTCCTACACAGGAGCGACTCTGGACTCCGTCTGCACAAGGGCGTTTCTGCCCACACAGCGAATTCGCAAGATCAAAACAGCTGTAAGCAGACTCAAACCACGCGCAACACTTACAGCGCACTACATCAAACATGTTTTGGGACTCATGTCATCCACCACTGCTGTGGTACCGTACACAAGGCTTGAACTCAGACCCCTGCAATCCTGGTTCATCACCCAGTTTGACCCTGTGACAGATCCACAATCCAAGAAACTAAAAATCCCACCTCATGTCGCTCGACGTCTCGCTTGGTGGTCCAAACCCAGCAATTTATCACAAGGAAGGCTGTTTCACCCTCCCTTCCTGTCCATTCAGGTCATCACTGATGCAAGTCCTTCAGGTTGGGGCGCATACTGTCAAGACCTCCGTGTCCATGGCCTCTGGACTCAAACTCAAAGGACTCGGCACATCAATCAGCTGGAACTCATAGCGGTCATGAAGGCTTTCCAATCCTTCCTGCCTTGCACCTAAGGTCACACAGTGCAGCTGGCAACAGACAATACCACAGTAATGTACTACATCAACAGACAAGGTGGAACCCGATCCGCACCTCTTCTACATCTCACCATTCGGTTCTGGAAATGGTGCCGTTCCCACATTTTCCCACAAGTGATCCACATTGCATCCAAGGACAATTCCTTGGCGGACCACTTGAGCAGGCTCCCCACCAGAATGCACGAATAGACCTTAGACCAGTCGGTCTTCCTGGACCTTTGCAAATGTTGGGGGCAGCCCATGTTGGATCTCTTCGTGTCCCACATCAATACCAAGTGCGCCCGATATTGCTCCATAGCAGGAATCGACACCTCATCCCTGGGAGACGCGTTCCTCATACCTTGGTCAGGGGAACTAACGTACCTGTTTCCACCAATACCACTGCTCCTCAGGACAGTGACCAGGATCATCCAGTACAGTCATCCAGTACAGTACGGACACAATCCTCATCGCCCCTTGGTGGCCGAGGCAACCGTGGTTCGCTCACCTGTCAGAGATAACGCACAAAGTCTACCACTTACCGCAGATACCGTCCCTGCTATCGCAGAACAACGGGGCTCTTCTCCATCCCGATGTCCAGTCCCTTCACCTGACGGCGTGAAGGATAACCCCAGCTTCCGCGAGGTACTAGACCACACACAAAAGCCTTCTACTTCACGCTTATACAAGGGCAAATGGAACACCTTTACCAAATTTACCCAATCCAAAGGTCTGACTACGGTACCAGCGTCTTTACACACAGCACTTACCTTCTTGCTGCACCTTTTCAACAAGAAGTTGAAGGTCTTGCTCACTCCACGCTTAAAGTCTACATTTCGGCAGTTGTAGCCCACCAGCCTCCTCGATCGTACTCTGCAAGACTCTTCACAGACCCTACACTTAAAAGATTCTTAAAAGGTCTTCAAAACATCCAACCCCTTTCCCAGACCATCACACCACAATGGTCCCTTCCGCTGGTCTTGGAAGCCCTTACTAAACCTCCATTCAAACCTATGGCTACATGTTCAGAAAAACTTCTTTCACTGAAGACAGCATTTTTAGTAGCCATCACTTCGCCACCTTAAGGGCAGACATCCCTTACCTGCAGATGCATTCAGATAAGGTTACCCTCTACTTGGACATTCCTCCCAAAGGTGGTGTCGGAATTCCATGTCAATCAGCCTATTGTGCTTCCAACCTTTTTTCCTTCTCCAACTACACCGTTAGAGCGAAAACTTCATGCTCTTGACGTAGAAAGAGCCCTTGCCTTTTACTTACATCGTACCAAGCCCAAAGGTGCTCCTGCTTCCTCTCAGTCAGTATCGAGATGGATTGTTCAGCTCATCCCCCTGGCTTCCCAGCTGGCCAACAAGCCTCTCTCAGAGGGCTTAAGGGCACACTCCACCAGAGTGGTCTCTACTTCGACAGCCCTATTTAAAGGTGTCCAACTGCAAAACATCTGCAAAGCAACCACCTGGGCTACCCCTCTGACGTTCACCAGACACTACCGACTGGACGTCAGAGCCAAAAATGATGTGGCGTTTGGACGGGTGATACTGTCATCCCTGATACCATGATGGCCCTCCTGCCGGTGAGTACAGCTTGCTAATCACCCAATTGTGTGCATTCGCAGAGACCACTACAAAGAAAGTTAGGTTACTTACCTGTAACTTTGGTTCTTCTAGTGGTACTCCGTGAATTCACACATCCCTCCCTTCCTCCCCTCTATCCATTATGGTACTGTCTCATGATACCATACTTATCTGACTTACGGTAACAGCGGATTTAGGGAACTGAAAGGAAGACGGAGGAGGCAAGGCTTATATACCCCACAAGGGGAGCTAATTGACTCTTTTTTCGCTGCACAGGCGCAGGATAACCCAGTTGTGTGAATTCACAGAGGACCACTAGAAGAACCAAAGTTACAGGTAAGTAACCTAACTTTTTATTTCCTGATACATTATTGCCTGTTCTCAGCTTCGTTTGATCTGTTAAGAGTACTAATGTCCTAATTGTTTCTGCTGACACAAGCAAAGCATTGCTGGTCGTCTGTGGAGTTGGGGAGGAAAGAAGTGAGATTGATACAGTATATTAAGAGTAATAGGCACGTATGGATTTAATTGAATTTTCTTTGAACTGGAGATGCTGAGAGTGAGCATATAACTTTTGGGGAGCAAATCATTAACGTAGAAAAATGCAAAATTGTTTCATATGCACATTTCAGACAAATTCAATTATGGTTCTGTAGAAAAACTGCCTCTCGATATTTCACTCTTTCACCATATTTTCCAAAATTGCATGGCAGGCATCTGGCAAAATAACTACAAAATCTTTGTTGTTGTTATGTGCTGTCAAGTCACTTCCAACTTATGGCAACCCTATGAATGAGTGATCTTCAAAATATACTGTCCTCAACTGACTTATTCAACTCTTGTGAACTCAAGCCTGCGGCTTCCTTTAGGGAGTCAATCTATCTCATATTTGGCATTATTGTCTTTTCCAGAGAATCCTGCCTTTTCATGATGTGCCTAAAGTAGGACAGCCTGAGTTTTTGCCTCCAGTGATAGTTCAAGTTTGATTTGATCTAGATGAACCTACTTATTTGTCTTTCTGGCAGTCTGGAATATCTGCAAAGCTCTTCTCCAACAAAATGTTATCCGTGCATAAAATTATGTTAGCAAGATGCAGTCATCTCCCCAGTAGGTGACGAAACAGGGAGTAATTGTACATTGTTTTTTAAGTTGTCCATGCACGTCATACCTGGGCTGAGGTAGATGGGCAAGTTGGCTAGAGATAATTATCATGAACTAGGAACATTTCTGAGCATATTTGCAATATTGATAAGAACTAAAATCAATGCAAGCATGTGTTTACTCTTGTAATATATTTGTTGTGTTATTATCATAATCATTTTGTGAAGAAAGCATCAATGATGAGGATAAGGTGGGCACTCTAGATGCTAAAAAAGTCATTTCTGTTTTATTTCCCCTGCTCTCTTTCCCCCAGTCAATCCTGTGGAAGAATGAGAGCCTCTGCATAGGAAGAGCTACTGCAACAGTAGTTTTTTTGGGGGGGGTGACCAATGACCTGCACTTGCGAAGAAAAACAGTAGCAAAAGAAAAGTTCTCACTGACAGTGGAGTGTATGAGCAAAGTTGAAAATGACCAGGATAAAAGCTGTCTGAAAAAAAAGTTGAATGCAAAGAGAAGATGGAGTTGTGAAGGCAGAAGTTGAACATTTGGTATGTTTTCTATTGGATAACATCACGGCTGGAGAAACCACCATAGTTTCAATACATGCTGTATGAGACATAATAGCCCTGTCAGGTAAGGACCAGAATGTTTTGGCTTATATCAGGCTCTTGTTTTTTGGGGGGTGGGTTTATGGTGCTTATGTGATCTCAGTGCTTTTGATAGAACAAAATGAATTCTATAGACAAACAGTGGATTACCATTACATTGAAAGAATTTGATTCTAAAAGGATTATGCTATTTGTATATACATGTGGATGAATGGGTGGATTTTTAAGAGAATGTCTCCCACTTTTTTTCAGTAATAAGGATTCAAAGTGCCTCAGCTGCCACCCTTGGCAATACTGGCTGTTTTTCATCATGTCCTGCTTCATTTACTCAAAGGACAAAGCTAGCTCCCAGGGTAGATGTTCTCCTTTTCCATTGCATTTGATGTTGATGCATGGAGGTAACGACTGGATGAGCTTGTATTCTGGAGAAGAGACTACTGCTAGGACAAAATGTGAAGAAACTATTGATAAGAAGGACATATACAGAAAGTAGGATTAGTTTAAGAGAAAAGAAGGATGAAAAATTATGAAAGAAACATCAGTAATTTAAGATATGCAGATGACATCATATTAAAAAAAACTTGAAACAATTACCCATGAAGATGATTGAAAAAAGTGCAAAAGCAGGATCACACCTGGAAGTTCAGAAGGCACAATCATGATGACTACAGAAGAAATGGATAACTTTAATGTTGAAAATTAAAAAAACTGAAATTGAAGGTTTTCTATACCTCGGTTCACTTAGCATTCCAAATGGAGTCTGCAGCCAACAAATCAGAAGAGTGAGACTTCGAAGGGCACTTCTGAAGGAACTGAAAGAGGACTTCAAATCTAAGAATGTTTCACTGAAGAGGAAGGCTAATATCATTACACTGTAGTATTCCTGCTTCCCAAATACAGATGTAACAGCTTGACTCACAAAGAAAGGCTGACAGGAAAGATAGTGAAACTCAAAATTTGGTGCTGGAGGACAGCTTAATAGAAATCATTAACCCAGGTGAAATTCAAGAACGTGACAAAGTAAATAGATTCAAGATCAAATAAAGCCTGACTTCTCATTAGAGGCTAAAGCAAGCTGTTGTACTTTTTGTCATAATATGTTAAGACAAGACTCACTGGATAAGATTGTAATCCTAGGAAATTCTAAAGGAAGCAGGCAGAGAAGAAGACCCAAAGATGAAATGGATTGACTGAATAAAAGAATGTGTAGAAAATATTTAACTATTTCATTTTCTTCACTGTGAGCATTAAAATTATACAATTCTTCTGTAGTCATGATTTTTATTTACCGTATTTTTCCGTGTATAATACGCCCCCATGTATAAGACGCCCCCCACTTTTCTAACCCAAAATTAAGAAATCTAAGTGGGGCTTAGCAAATGGAGGAGAAAGCATGGATCAAAGCCCTGCAGGATCACTTTGATCCCTGCTTTCCCCTCCACTTATTTTTGTTCTTTCCTCAGCTTACTTCTGTGTATAAGACAACATTCAATTTTTAGTCTAAAGATTTTAGACAAAAGTAAAGTCTTATACACGGAAAAATATGGTATTAAAATATAGCTATCCCACCTTTCTCCTTAAAAATATTTTTGTCTTTCTGACATACAGCTGCAATTTTGCTTTTGCTTCTTTCACTTCTAAGCTACAGGAACCAGATTTAGGCTGAAGAAAAACTTCAGAACTGTTAGAATAGTACAACAGTTACCAGTTACTTTGGGAGGTGGTGAGTGTTCCATTGCTGGTGGCATTCAAGAGAAAATTGAACAACCATCTGTCAGATCTGCTTTGACTTGGATTCCTGCATTGAGCAGGTTATTGGACTCAATTGCCTTATAGGTTGTGTATCCGGATAAGAGTCTGTTAGAATGATCCAAACTTTCCTGAGCCACACAATCAAAAGTTTTACTGTAATCTATACATTGAAAAGTGATTTTCTTCTGAAAATCTTTGATGGTCTTCAATAGCCAATCTGACATTTCTCACTCCATGTAAAGTCTCTATTGTAAAAGCATGAGCATCACTTTGTTTGCATGGGATACTAATGCAGTAGTCATAATGTTACTGTAATATTTTCCATACTGTAATAATATCCATACTGTAATATTTTCCATTCCAATATACCTTCCATGGGAAGGTACCGTATTTTTCGCTCCATAAGACGCACCTTTCCATAAGACGCACCAATTTTTTAGGAGAAGAAAACAGGAAAATATAATCTGTTTTCTTAGCTCCATAAGACGTACAGACTTTCCACACCCCTGTTTTGTGGGAAAAAAGTATGCAGTAGTTGTTACTGTAATATTTTCCATTTTCTTTCTTTGGAGTGGGAAGGTATATTGAAGGGTGAAAAACTGCTGGAGAGAGGAGATATTAGGGGCAATGTTCCGCAACCTCCATTGATCTACATTCTAAATTGTTCTTCAATTCAATTTCCTGTTTTTTAAGTATGGGTGAAAAACTGTTGGAGAGAGGAGATATTAGGGGCAATGTTCCGCAACCTCCATTGATCTACATTCTAAATTGTTCTTCAATTCAATTTCCTGTTTTTTAAGTATTACGAATGACCTGTAGTCTAACATACTATCCTGCTATCCCTTCTATATAAAATTATCAAAACTAAATTTGTGCCTTGAGTTCTCTGTGCAGGGGGACTCAGATCAGATTAGACCTTTCCTTCTATTTTGTTATTTTTATTGTTTTCCATAGTCAACATTAATAATATACAGATTTTGGAGCAAAAGTTGCAAAGAATTTGATTGTCATACAATAAGCTATCTTATATGAAAAGCATTATTTTATGTGTATGATGTCATCATAGCTTATTGTTCTGCGGGATATTTTTTACATTGATGTTTTATATATTGGCTAGAGAAAGATTGCTGTATGCAGTATTCTCTATAAATCCCAGTTCATGTGGATTAATTGCCAAGCAATTCTATGTCATGCAGGACGTGGAATTTTCACTGAAGCCCAGATTTCAAAAAGCAGCTTTAATGATCTGAATTGCTAATCATTCACACTAAAAACCTTCCAAAAAGTCTCTCTCTATAATTGTAATGGAATATATGAAATAATAGTTTCAATATACAAGTACTTTGTTTAATAATTTGCAGATCTGATTTCAGTCTCTGATGGTATGTAAAAATGGTATGTAAAAATTCAGAGACATGATTAGTAAAATAGTCTCAAACAACAGTTTTTAAAATCTGTCTGTGACACCATGATTAATTTCACTACTAGCTGCACGAACGGAGCAAGACTGGTAGAATGAACAAAATGAAGAACTGGTAGTCTGTCATAATAAAGGAGTTAATGCTTTGCATTCTCTAACAATGTACAGATTCTTTGCCAGTTAGTTAATTCTTCACTTGGACTGAAGAAGCTGTTCAAGCCAGTACTTCTAGATTTGACCTCCTTAAAATTGAAACTGTTGCATGAAAGAATTTTTAAAAGCAGTACCACTTGTAATGAGAAAAATCCCTTTACTAAAAAGTATTCTGGGGAAGAACATCATAATATTTCTGTGAAGCTGGGCAAACATTTTAAAAATACATTGTTGGAGGATAGAACATTTTTATTATACAAATGACACTCCAGCTTTCTCAGCACATGGGCTTGAGCAGTTCACAGTCTATTATACAGTATTCAGTATTAAATATAACCACATCTTAAAATACTGTGAGATAACACTAGAGTTAACCTAAATATAGAAACAGCAAGGACTGTTAACCAACAGTTTTTCCAATCAGAAAGGTTATAGCCATCCTTCTAAAGATAGCAATAGGGTGCGCCTAGTGGACCTCCTTTTAATATGGAGTGCCACAGGGTGGCTTTTAGTAGTTCTGCAGTAAGTCTTTGGAGCTACCCATTTAGCCTCAGAAGGCATTCAAAAGACTGTGTCTACAGAGTACAAGAAGCCATGGTATCACATCTTGAAATCTGACGTACTGTGATATGTGAACCCTCTTTCACTAAACAGCCATAGTTTAATGTATTCGCGAAGACTTTCACTGCCGGGATCTAATGGTTTCTTAACTGCGGGCTGCCATAGTTTCTTAACTGCGGGCTGAGCTCATATATTGTTGTTGCTTAAAATGCTGGTTTCTTTAAACAAGGGCTTGTTATAACATCTCACCCAAAACTAGCCTCATCCTTGATTTGTTTTCCCAGCTGTTGACCCTTGAAAGATGAATTGACAAAAGGGGAAATAAAAAATCAAGTAAGAAATAAGGAAGACACACTATGGATTGTTTGGTCATTCGTCATGTAATTTGTAACATCATCAACAAATCATAGTTAATAACTGGTTTCCACTCTTGGCTCTCCAAATGGTGTTGGACTATAAATTCCAGAAACCTTGGCCATCAGCTGTGGTAGCTGGGTTTCCATTAATTGAAATTCAGCAATGTCTGGTCCCCCAAGTTTGAAAACTATAGTTTAATATTAACCATGACTTACTGTGATATATAAACATTCAGAGAAGGATTTCTTTGTACTTTGGCTTGAGAACTATTCACTGAGAAAAAAATATGTTTGAACAAAATTGGTGTATCTGATATTAATTTCCTATTTTCTGTAAGAATAAAAATTAATTTATGAAAATTCTCATACTTAAGCAGTGCTCAATTTATGTGATATGGCGTGCATATAAATATTGTTTGAATTTTACAGCTTCAGTTGTTTTATAGCTAATGAATAAGGTTTAGGGTTCTAATTGTCAGGAACCTTTCTCAGTCAGCACACTGAATATTGAAAAATATTCTCAGTGCTATTAGAACTGTCTCCATACTAGCTTATTAACTTACTGTTTGTGTTACAGCTTTTGACATGAAGAAAGATATAGATGCTTTAATAGCAGAGGAAAGAGCAGAAATCATTGCTAAATACGAAAAGGTAAGGATGTTGCTTTTGTCCACTAGCGTAAAACCCAACGTTTCTGTCTCTAGCTATGCAAACAGCTATTTTGAACATTACCCAATAGAGCTGCAGCATTAGAGTTCCTTGAAACTTCTTCCATTTGGTAGCTGCTTCCATATAGTGAGCAATATACTGTGTGGCCACAAGAAATATTTAGTTGCAGCATGTAGAATTCTGTCTCAAGGATAGGGAACCTTCAGTCCCCCCAGTTGTTTTTTGAATGACTGCTTCAATTGCTAATTCTCAATTGGCCAAGCTGACTTGGGTTGATAAGAATTGGGGCTTCAGGACATCTGGAGAATCTCATGTTCCCCAGTCCTGCACTGCAGGATGAACTAGTTCACAAGAATGACTTGCTGTTTGAGGCACCTGCTACATGGAATTATTTTATGCGTCCTCCACTGGGTAGCTAAATTTTAGGAACTGGCTCTAAATCCAAATCCAGTTATACTGTTGTGAAATAAAGTATTCTGTTTTTGTTGGCCTCTATAGCTTTTGGAAATTGCTTGTAGTCATCAACTGTGAATTCCTACATAACTTTCCAAGACAAAGCTAAAAGTTCCACAATCAACCTAGCTCTTCAAAATTTGGATTCTGTAATCCTCTTCTGTGTTATTTTAGTCTGTTAGACTGAGATTCTGTGATCTGCTGAGAACACCTCCTTAATACTTCATTTGTGCACCAGTCCCCGTTTAAGACGGTATGGGCACTCCTTATTTGTTCAAATTCTTTCCCAAGAGAATTGCCAGAATCTGAGCCAAAACCAAGCAACTATGCAAATCCATTTCAGGTTACTATGAGTACCTAGTATTAAGATGGTATTGAGGGAGTCACTTAAGTTTCATATCACATACTACATTGTTGCTAGTATTATATAACATGCAATAGAAATATTATATTTAGTAAAATGTTATGGTTTAACAGAGAGAAGTAAAGAAAATAGTAAATGAATGGAAAGATATAATGCTTAGCTTGCTTCATTTTTCTGAGTCTCAGATTTTCCTTAGAGGGATGCCATGTCTCCAGGACATCATTGTTTTTAGGTTTTACATGCATTTCCTTTGATAGCAGAGCCATTGGATAGATTGGCCACAGGGTAGATATGCAACTTGGTTGGGCTGGTTGCTAGAGATGGGATTTTTAGAATTTTTGGACTATAGGCCTGGGAGAGGCTAAGCTCTGTGAGAACTTCAAGGCATTATGAAGCCGGTAGTTTTCCTGACCATTATGCTCCCTACAGGGTTCCTCTCAACCATCTCCCAAATGCCTTGCAGCTTCCCCAGGGCTTACCCTCTCCAACCTCTTCCTTTGTCTTCATGGACTTAGCAGCATGACTGAGATAAAGCCTCATTCTTGATCTATTAATTATTAAAAGCAGCTACGATGATTTGTAATTCTGGGGGGGGGGGAGCCTCCAGAACTCTTGCTTCAGGAATTCCTGTGGCCATCTGGGGGTTGTAATCAAAAATTCCGAAAGTAACACATCTCTTGGTTTGCCCTCTGTTTGTGCAAGTGAACGTTTGTTCCCCCAATATTCCTCAAAGTTCTTGGAAGGGATTTTTTGGGATTGAAAACAATGACAGGAAAATTACAAATACTTCATTATCATTTTCCATCTATGTTCCTACTATGTAGCTTATATAGCTTCTTAAAAGATCCCTCCCAATTGAACGCTAAAGAATGCTAATAGTGTGACATTGGAAGAAGAATGGCAATATTTCATTGTAAGTTCTGTATACCTGAGATATATAATCTCAAGCAAAAATGCTATTTCTGCATAGTGTGCATATTATAAGCATATGGCAAAATGGCTGCCACACTGTAGAAATAACTCATACCCACCCATCATCTTATCACATAACTTATCTTTACAGTACTAACATAGATTATAATGAATATGAAACTAGTTTTATATTGGTAAAAAATGCTTGTCTTCATAATTTCTTCTATTACTTCTTAAATACAAATGGCTATGTCAAAGTCTATGCTGTCAGGCTCTGCAGTGGTGTCCTTTATTGTGCCACCTAGCTTTTCTTTACAGGGAAGGCAGGAAGGGGCTCAAATTGATCCATGGGAAGATGCTGACTTCACTCTCTACAAAGTTACAGACAGATTTGGGTTTTTACAGTAAGTTCCCCTTTTGCTGTTGTTTTAATCTTTGAGTGAACTAAGTATTGAGGGTTACAGTTGCACCCCGTTCGCTGCTTGTTGCTTCATTGTTACTTTGATCAGGCTGTACTTTGTCTCAGTGATATGTTTGTGCATGTCTTTCCAACCCACATGTGTGACAGCTTTCTGTTTATTAATAAAGCTCCACCCATGAAATACAAGGTGAGATGTTACAGGAGTTGATTTTTTGGAAATTAGTGTACATTACTTGTGAATGTAGGTCCTACTATAAACATCTAACTTGGTTAGAATTCCTAAAAATCATGGGTGTTCTTTAAGCAAACTGAAAAAATGTTACGGTCTGTTGCAGCTGCCCTTTAAAGAGATTTAGGTGTTTTCACTAGAATACTGTTCAGAGTTTATCTAATCCAGTATTGTGGCATGTTAGGGTGGAGTGCCTAGCCCTGGCCTCCTCTGTTTTCATTTTTTCCACATGTGTGGCAAGAAGTCTGAAAATCAGCAGTTCTACATTTTACAGGGTTCTCGCTCATATGTGGAGCCTACACATGAGCTGGAACCTCTTCAGTCTTGCTGCTGAAAAACATGGGCAGTGTGGTGACTTAGGGAGGTGGGGTTAGGCACTCCTGTCTAACCTTGTTGATGATGTTTGTTGTGGTGGTTATTCTAAGTATTGCTTAATTTTTAGTGAATAATTGCACAAAAGCCTGAAAAAGTTTCTTTTCCTCTGCTTCTTTTGCACAGCCTAGAAGTCACTCTGAAATTTAGTTATGTGTGAACTAGACAAATACACAAGTTCACACAGGAAGATTTTTAGCATGGTAGAAGAGAAGTTTTTTTCCCCAGCTGCTAAAGCATAGCTTCAGAACACCTTCCCAGATAATACATTTTGCTTATGTATTTCTAACACATTAGTTTAATTTGAGTTTTCATTCTTTCAGTGAGCATGAGCTACCAACCCGCAGTGCTCTTGAGGAGAAGGTAAGAGTTGGAAGCTTTATTTTATGTCAGGTAATTTGTAGCGGGTGTGTTGGTTTTGCTTTTCAGTAGGAAGTGGTTGAACTTATTAACATAAGCATTTAATTACATAAATGCTTATGTTAATCAACTACATAAATAAACATATAACGTATATTCTCCTAGTGTTTCTAAAGCAAATCACAATGATTTCCAACAACTTACTGTACTTAGACGTGATGGTGCTTAGGCATTAGCCAGACATGAAGAAAGATTTGAAGATAATTCTTCTGGATATGCTGAAATACAGCATGAAAGCTTTCCACTGTAGCTTGGGTTTAAGAATAAGGGACAAAAAACCTGGGAACAGTTGTCAGATGAGTAATAAAGTATAATAAAGAGTAATAAAAAGCTTTGCCATTTATGTTACACTTGCAGATATAAATAACACATATAAAAGACCTCAGTCGTGGTAATTAGATCTGAAAACCTAGATAATTATAAACATTTTTACACATCACTGCAGAGGCCATAGGGTCTGATAACTCTCATTATGTCATTCAGTATCCTGTATGTCTCAGATGTGGCTGGCATTGATAGCTTCCTCTAGTTAAAAGTAAAGAGAATAAAAGTTGAGTTGTTCAGAGCACAATTTGTAAGTGCAGTCATATGTATTTGTGTGTTATGTACCATGAAGTTGGAATCAGCTTATAGCAACCCTAATAGGGCTTTCAAGGTAAGGAGACATTTAAGAAGTGGTTTTATCAGTTCCATTTCCTTCCCTTCATTTTACATGGCCAAGTGGGGATTCAAACCCAGGTCTTCTGGGTCCTGGTTCGTCATCCTGTCTACTACAGTACATTGGGTACTGCAGCTATATGTCATTATCTAATTGATTAACAATCTACAGTCTAAGTTTGGAACTGTTTCTTGATAATGATATTGTGTCAAACAAAGGAATAACGTATGGGCTAGATTTTTGCAGTGAATGGGTTAGAGAATTCCATATGTCCCCTGCCTAAGCTACTTACAGGTTATAGTAACCTTATGACTCCACAGTCTGCTAATGTAGACATCCAGCCCATCCTCTCTTCCACTTTGTTCTCATGAACTGGAAAGAAGTATTCTAAGTGTCACTCTCAATGCTTTTCCAGCAAAAACTTCAGGAGATTGAACGAGTGGACAAATGGCTGAAAATGTTAAGAAAATGGGGAAAATACAGAAACAGTGAAAAGGTAAGGGAAAGGATTATGACATGCTTAAAGCAATATTGTAATTATTTGTTTTTGCCCTTATTGAGAATAAAATAGAGAACAAATGGTATCTTCTTTCTTTCAACCCTTGTGTTCGTGAAATCAGTTGGAGGCCTTTGTTTATCATGTCACAAACTGTTCTCAGGCCAGTCTGAACCACACAAATGTGAATTATGTGTGTAAATTCACCTCCATAAGATTGTCTGGTATAGACATAAGAGTTTTTAAGTTTTTTTTTCTGTACAGGTATCAGAATTCAGTAGGAATTTTCCCAACTAGAATTCTGGTGACTTGAGCAAAACAAACAAACAAAAACAAAACTAAGTTCTCCAAGGTGTTTCAAGATACATACTTATTCTTTGCCAAGAGTATCTCTGCAGTGACAGCCATTAAAGCATGTAGAAGAACATGGGTGGAGCTTTCTAAGCTCCATGGCAACTGTAAATGCTGTAATAAAAATACTTAGAGCTATTAGAAACAGTTTTGTGTATGTTAATTTATAAGTTTATTCAGTCCAGTTTCCATATTTTGTCTTTTAAAAATAAAATAAAACCAAGAAAATCCAAGTTTAAATAAATATTTAAATATGTTTTTCTGAATATGCATATCTAAATTTGTCTAACAAGTTGTTTTACACACGTGTGCGTGCACACACATGCACACACACCCTTGTTTGAACCCCACAACTTTTGAGAACTGAATTTTAATTTGTACCTTAGTTTGAGAGGTGCTGATAATAACAACTGGTATCTTCCTTTTTTAAAATTTGTGGTTCTGCTGTGTCAAAACTGCATCTGTAAAGGGATATTAAGTACAGTGAGACTATAAACTGAGGCCAATATTTTCCCAATTATTTGGTTATCTATCTATCTCTTCTTAAATCTATTATCAAGGTGTACCGAGAAATGCTGCACTTGAGAAACATATATCTTTAAAGGTTGTATTAATTTTCCTTTATTTAAAATTTGTAGATGTTTCGCAGGGTTTATAAAGGAATCCCCCTCCAAGTGCGCGGGCAAGTCTGGTCTCTTTTGTTGGATATAGAAAAGGTGAAGATGGAAAATGAAGGAAAGTATGAGGTAAAACATATTTTATGGCAATGGGTAACCTTGGCCGTCTAGAGATTTTGGCCTACCCCTCCCATCAGCTGTACACCTCCCATGAGCAGTGGCATGGTAAGGCATTGTGGGAGTTGTAATCCAAAACCCTGGAAAGCTTGAAGGTGCAACATGTGGTGGAGAAATAATAAATGTATTGGTTACTTTTTCCGGTTTTGGTATTTTAAAACAATTTTGATACAAAATTGAAATATATGTTTGGTGTTACTCATTTTTTAAAAAAATATGTAGGCAGTGGTCCCCCAAAGAATGATTTAATTGGTGGAGATGTAAAAATAACTAACACTAATATGTAATTGTTAACTGTGTGGCTAAAATTATTGAGTAGGTAATCATGATACTTTTGCTGTTTCATTCCTCATAACAATTACACTACCTAGGGGAGGAAGTCCATTATCCTAAGGACATGAATTTATGAGTAAAACATATTATTAAAAAATGGCATACCCCACCATAGAAGCACAGTCTTGGAAGGGAAACAAGTATAGTATACCAAAAAATGAAGAATATACATTTCCAAAATTTCTTGGCATGGTGTGCCTCTGATCAGTGAGTATCTGTGCCAGTCCTGCCACAGGCATTCTTTTTATTCAAATACACCAGGAGGAGAGCTGTAGTCTGACTCATTTTCTGGCTGTGGTTCACTTCCTGGAAAATCTAAGGATGCATATATATTAGAAAAATATAGTATATTCATAGTAGAATACAACATGGAACTTTTCCAGAAGTCCTTTGAGTGAATCACAGTTTTATCAAAATAATTCAGACAAGATATGCTTGCTGACCATCAGAAGTGTTCCTTTATGTGAGGTGACATAGGACAATGATGGAACAGGTTGTGCAGACTGTGGCTGATGGGCTACATGTAGCTTCTGAGGGCCACCAGTGGCCCTCAATCCTGTTCATCTCCCACATATTTCAACATCAACAAGAAAATCATGTGCCTGGAAGAGAGCGATTTGCTATTTAAAGGTTATTTGAAATAGCCTTTTAAAAAAGAGACTTTTCTACCCGGAACAGACCGTAGGGTGAAATGTTAGTGTCACGATTCCACATGGCCCCTGATTGCTTCACCAACCAAAGAGCTCACACTGCGTGTCTTTCAGCTGCCATGTTGATTTCATCAACAATACCTTTTATTAATGATAGATTCCAGGCCATATGTCATTTTAAAAGAGCCAAATAGACATTGTTTATCGATATAGGTGTTGACAGAACAAGCATTGTTAATTCTTAAACAAACATTCTTCTTTATCCACCCTCAACCACCATTCTCACGCCCAAACTCCAAAACTCTCTCAACTCTCTAACATTCTAATTCTCCATCTCAAAACCCTATCTAAACCTTATCTCCAGTCTTCCTCCTCCTGCTGAGTTTCTTATACCTCGTGATTCCACCCCTCCAGCACTCTCATTGCTGTATGTAAATAGCATATGAATATTCATGATCTGGACAAACACCACAGTTCTTTACCTGGGAAATTGTGCCCCCTGAGGTTTTTGTGGAGTAATTTCCAATTTTGGATGCAGAAAATATGGTGGATGGATGTCAGGGCATCAAAAGAGATGCATTCTGTTAATATCAGGAGAGGAAAATGCCCCCCACATCCTCAGAAGTTGCCCATTCTGATTCATGTAATGATAAACCTGTGCCTTGGCTCAAGCCACAGCAGGGCGATTTGATCATGTTGACTGAAGTTTGATTCACATACAGTGAGGTCTTGACTTGAGAACTTAATCCGTATTGGAGGGCGGTTCTCAAGTCAAAAAGTCTGTAGGTCAAGTCTCCATTGACCTACAGTGCATTGAAAACCGATTAATCCCCTAACAGGCCGTTTTTGTTCCATTTTGGTTTTTTTCTGGTCTGTAAGTCAATTCTCAGGCTGCAAGTCAAACCTAAATTTTGCGGCCAGAGAAGTCTGTAACTCAAAAAGTCTGTAAGTCAAGCCGTCTGTAAGGCAAGGGTCCACTGTATTTCATATTGAAATCTATCTCTGAGTTCCTCTGGAGAATGACCATCTTAACGTCTGTGACAGAATGTCTTGACAGATTGAAATGTTCCTCTGCTGTTTGAATATTGACATTTCCAGTGGCCAGTTCTATACTGTAGTAGACTTCAGTGCCAAGTCTGTCTGCTTATTCACTCTGGTGATAATCATCATAAAACTGCAGAGCTGGAAGGACCCTATGGATCATTGAGTCCAGCCCCTGTCAAGGAGACCCAGTGGGGAATTGAACCCTCAACCTCTGGCTCTGCAGCCTGATACCTAAACCACTGAGCTATCCAAGAATTCACCATCTATACCATTTATGACATGAAGGATTCATATGCCTACTATGCTTGCTAATCTTTCAGTGATGTACACTGTTGCTTGCAAACAATGCCCTTCTTCAGTCTGCGTGAGGAAGGGCAGAATCTGTGCAAACTAAGAAATGAATAGAAATCAAACAGAAGTGGCAATATTTAAAAAAAAAACACCAGGGAAACATTTATCGTTCAAGGACACTGCTACAGGTCTTAAAGTGGCAAATTTTTAATAAAGGAACTTGAAAGGTAGATTACAATGTGTAACAGCTGAACTGTGCTTCATTGAGGATCGTCCTATATCTCTATATTCGAAATATACAATGAGGTTTTAAAGTTACAATTCATCTATTAACACACAAATGCAAGCATATATGTTTTACAACTACAAGTGCAGTTAATCACCTTTTGTTGATAAGTACACTGTACATTCATCACTTCATATTCTACCACTTCTTCTCATTCATATATCCTCATAGCTACTATAACACTTCATGCATCTGATGAAGTGGATTGTAGTTCCATCTGTGCTGATTAGCTCATGGATTAAATTTGCATAAATGATACATAGGTCAAACTGAGGCTAAGTTACAGTACTAAATCTTAAGTCCTATTAAAATCTATTTTAAAAGGTAGCTACAATGTAACTTCTCTGTTACATGCTGTGGTCCATGGGGTCATGAAGAGTCGGACACGACTAAACGACGACGACAATGTAACTTACTCTCCAGTGGTACCTGTGTACAATTGACCAAGTCTATCTGGTCCAATATTTTTCAAATAGAAAATGCATTATTTGTCGTAAGATGGTGCACCCCTATTGTAGCAGTTGTAATTTTAAAAGAATCATTCCTCCTATGTGTAACTGAGAAAGGAAAATGCTCCTTCTAAGAAGGTAATTGCCATCAATAGTTCTTATAAGCACTGGGGTTTTGTTTTTTTAAAAATTCCTCTTTCCATTTGAATTCAGCACAGAAGCCCAAGTTGATAATTTTTATTTATTTATTGGTATGAAACTTACAGGATATTAGATCAATATCTGTTTTTTCTGGAATTGCCCTGCTGGGACAATTGATTACCCATCACATATCATTGTCTGTCTTCAATCCATGAGTGGCTTTTCTTTTTTAAAATCAGGATATCTACCTCTAGTTTAGGCTTTCCTTGGGCGGAATGGCATAATCAGAACTGTTTTTCTAATCCTACAGTGCTGTCAGCATTGAACCATGACAGTTATCACAGCCACCATGGAAAGAATTCCTGTTGTAAAAACAGATATATGATAAATGGAAGAGGATTACTTCCATTTCCTGTCTTCTGAAAGCCTTTTCTTCAAAGCTCTTTCCACAACTATCCATGGATCTTATGAATTAAATAATATAGATGCTTCTCACCAGAGCACGTATGGCATTTCCTATGCTTTTGAAAAGAGAGTTGTCTGTAAAGGAGACCAAACAAAAATACCTTAAAAATAAGTTTAAATGACCCTGTCATTACTCATTATATGGATGAATCACATTTAAAATAAACCAACTTGATTTTCATTTTCACATTTTAAATGAAGCTCACACCGTCCAACCGTGAAACGTCCACCACAGAGTAGAACTGACAACACCTGACCCTAACCCACATCCAGTTTGATGTGTGGTGGTCAAAAATCAGCCTGTTCCTTATTTCTGAAGGTTGGCAAAATTGAAAGGGGGGGAAAGGGGGAAAGAACAAAATATTGTAACCTCTTAAAGACTTAACATTTAATTCACTGAATTTTCATGGATCAAAATCCACTTCCTTAGGTACATGAAATATGCTATTTGTATTGATATGTATTTCCATGTTTGGGAGGGCATGACAGAGTAAAGATAGAGACATGGCTTCTTAGCACACTCAATTTATTAATAGCCTAGCTTTCTGTAATATTGGATATGTATAAAATAGCTGTTTCCCTTTATGTATTCAATTTTCTGTCCTAGAAGTGATTATTGGAATTTTGGTGACAGGTAGACCTGTCTGGCAGACAGGCAGTGATCCTAGTTGTAGTCTGCAGTTTTAAGTAATTAACATCTTGGTAGTCACATTCCTGTATTAAGACTACATATTTACACTGAAACAAGTCTGTTAGTATTTAAGATGCCACAATCTTCCCTCTGTTTTCTCTCCCTCCCCCAACCCCTTTAATTTTGCCAGTATGCAAGCACAGATATCTCTTTGGAAACATTTAAAAATGTTTGATCAGTAAGAACTGTCAATTTTTCAGTATGATTTGATTTCTTAATTCAAAACAGCCGCCCAGAGTAGACTTCGGTCTAGATGGGTAGGATATAAATTTAATTAATTAATTAATTAAACAAACAAACAAACAAACTGCCTTGTATAAATATATCTTTTACAGCTTAAAAGTGGCTTAGGATTCTACTTGACTACAAAAGAACTTCACAAAATCAGCTATTACAAAATGTACAGATGATAGCAGAGTATAGAGTAATTGTGTGCAATACATGAGCAAATGATAGGAAGCAACTCTTATCCCAAACAAGGAAGGCCATTGGGACTTAGAGTTTTCTAGTAGCTACTTAGAAGCCGCACTGCACAGGTATGTTACTGGAATTTGCATTAAAAGGATCTATGCTAAAAAATTTCAGTGCCATTTTCAACAAAAAGAGTATTAAAACCAATCAAGTTTAGGTGTGAAACTCTGAATTTAAGCATACGATTAAGAAACAGTAACCAGGGCCTCAACTATTTATAAAAAGTTTTTGGTTTGTCGTTTTTTGCTGTTGACAATAATATTACTGTACTATTAATTTGTCCTTTTACTAACCGTAAAGTCTAATCATCATCATGTGCCATCAAATCAATTATGATTTATGGCAACCCTTTCAGGATTTGCCAGGTAGAGAATACTCAGAAGTGGTTTACCATTCCCTTCTTCTGGAGCCATCCTGAGATCATGAAACTTGCCCAAGGCCACACTGACTAGCTCTTCCAAAATAAACAGTGGGGAACTGAACTCTCCCAACCTCTGCAGCCAGATACCTAACTCACTGAGCTATCCAGTCAATTCATAACAGTGGGAGAAGTTAAAGAAAGCACAAAAAATGCTAGCTTACAGCACAAATGCTGCCCTCCAAATGTTGCTGAACTCCCAGCAATCCTAGCCCACACAACCAATAGTGAGGATTGCTAGGAGTTGCAGTTCAACAACATAATTTATATGCCGCTCAGAGACCTTTGGGTAGTGTGGGCGGCATATAAATTAAATAAATAAATAAACATCTGGAGGGCCACATTTTGCCCAGGTCTGAAATACTGTAAAGTCACAGGCAGTTTAACTAAGCTCTTGAAGAGTCTGCAGTAAACAAAGGACTCATAATATAATAGGCTTTACATGAACATAATTCCCGGAAATTGGCTTTTCCATAATCCTACTTATCCTTGGTGCCACCTGAGGCCAGCAGTTAGCTCTTTATGATCTAGAAGAAAGTTGGAGTCAGAGGAAACATTTTCCATAAGGAAATATGGGAGCATAGGTTTCACTTGAAGCCAGTAAACCTTTATAACACAGTATTGATTTCCAAAAGGGGTTTTGACAGAATGCTTCATCAGAGATTCCTAGCAAAAAGTGAAGGATGGGGGAAAGATAAGGGAAAGAGTCCATGGTGCTCCCAGTGTTAGACTAGGCCCATTTTGTGGAGAAAACCTGGTGAGATGTACAACCAAGAAGTGCTGGAGTTGTGTGGTAGGGTGGTCAGCAGTAATTCCGTTTGTAGTTTGCAACAGAAGAGCCTTGATGGACAGCACTAAAGGTTCTCTATCTGAAAGCACTCTTAAGATAATTTAATAAGAAATTCTCCCACCCAGATCTACCCGAATAACCTGACACAGCCAGCAGGGACGGCTGAGGGGTCTGACGCCGAGGGAGGCCCGGAAGGAAAAAACAAGAAATCGGGCCTTCTCGGTGGTGGCCCCTCGGCTGTGGAACACCCTCCCCACTGAAATTCGGCTGGCACCCTCGCTGGGCATTTTCAAAAGCCAGCTGAAAACTTGGCTATTCAAGCAGGCCTTCCCTTCAGTCAATTAAGTCATTCTTATTTTTCTTCTTTTAATCTTGCCATCTTGGGACTCTTTGCTTTAAATTAACTGTTAAAATCGTAAATTTATATTACATTTTATATCATTTTGTTTTTTAATGTAAAACTGTATATTTTAAATTGTTTTTATCTTCTAAGTTGTGAGCCGCCCAGAGTAGACTATGTCTAGATGGGCGGCATATAAATGCAATAAATAAATTAAAAAAATAAATAAATAAAAAATAAATAGTTCTTAAGGAGAAAGTGAGAAGGAGATTCTTCCACCTCCTCTGAATTCAGTTATGTCCTGATATATTAAAAGATACTTAATTCTACAATCCTTTCAATAGAAAATGAAAGAACAAGCAAAGAGTTACTCATCTGAAATCAAACAAATAGACCTGGATATCAATCGAACATTTCGAAATCACATCATGTTCCGGGATCGATATGGAGTGAAGTAAGTATGTTGTGGAGTACATTTATGCCACATTGGAATACTACTTTTATCCTAGTGCAACAAATGCTTGTTAAAAATATTCAGTTTCAAAGTCCTGAAATTTAAAAAGAGAGTAAAAATCATAATCTGGCAAGGAAATGATTATTTGAGGGTGCAGTCAACAGGGAAATAGTGTTACTTTGGACCGCTTCTGGCATGCCCTCATGCAAATTATTTCCCAGCAATCACATGACACACGGAACATTGCAAACCAGCCGGACTCAGATGTGTGCCCAACTTGGACCTTCTTGGTTCAGAAGCAAGGATACTCTTTTGGGGGGCTGGGCTGGAGTTGTTCCTATGTGAACAGAAGGGTGACTTCTGCTTGGAGATCGCTCCCAGCAATGCAACCCTTTCTGGTGCAATCAAATGCTGTCCTTCCTTGCCATTTGGTCACACCCCAAGATACATACTGATTAAGTATGCAACAAAGTACTGGATTGAGATTCTAGGAAAAAGCAGACTGTAGCAAATAAACATTGCCTCACAGAACACTGATAAAGATCCAGACACCCCTTTTCCCTTTTCAGAGGAAGGAGGAAGCCAAGATTTGAAAAAAGCTCTTGAAGACCTTTGAAGAGTTATGTGATTTAATTCCAGTACATTAGGGTGGCTTTTGTCTTGACAAAATGTGATTCCTCTGCAATTCCAGAATTTGTAAAATGAGTAGATTTCCTGAAATTTCTTCAGAAACAGCAGAAGAACTTTGGTCTTCTATAGTTCTTATTGCTGCTTATCTGTCTCTATGTCTCTGGAATTATACTGATAGTCTTTAGATTTGTTGCAGTGCTTATCATGACTATCAGTAGAATCTAAAGGGCAAGTACTTCCAGCATGTTGTGACTGAGGAATGTGGTGATTAATTTCAGCTTTAAGCATAGTTTATGCACTTAAGTGTTCATAAGGTTCTTAACCTTCTTAACGTTGTGAACACTTGTAGTCCAAATATTGCTGTGCATTACTCATTTATGATTAAATAAATTGCCATGCATGTGGGGTGGGGTGTGTTTCATGCTGAGTGCAAAAAAAAAATCTGTTGTAGTATGATTACTATTTCAAGTGTCTGACCAAGCCCTCTCATTACAAAGATTTATGAACAGAATTTGGCAGATAGTTTTGATGGAAAAGCTGACAAATCAGGCCAGAATATATAAAGGGGAAATAAAACATGATAAAGTTATGAAAACCTGGCAACCTTTATTAACATATAGTACCATTTCAAATAAAGAGGAACATGCTATGGGAAATAATTTGGATTGTTAGTCTATAATCTTTAAGGAGAATAAATTTAAGTATGTTAGGAGATGAAACTAGATGATTATAAGGTGATAAAATATGCTATAAGTAAGATGATTGTATTGTATTATAATTTAAGTTGACTTGTTATGTTATGTTTTCCATGAAATACATAGTTGCTTAGTAATTTGAGAGTATTGTCAGTATAAATTGTATAAATTTTTAAAAAAATCCCAATTCAAATATCTAAAATTGTTTATTCCTTATTAGAGCAGATATGAGCATATGTGCATCTTGTATGGTTTCTAATCAATAATATGTATGTCTGTAAACTGTTCATTTGATATTAAGATATTTGTTACTTTTCTTTGAAGAACAAATTTTGTATAACATCAAACCCTATGTATCTTTTTCTGCTTTTGTTTTCATTATGAAACAAAAAGAAGTAAGCCGTTGTGAGAAAGTTATATGGGACATATAACAAGTAGGTAACCATCACTGAGCTAGCAAACCTGTGCCTGACCTATGGCACTTCACAGTGCATCCTGTTTTATGAGGTTGCATGACTAAGAGCTCCTTTATACAAAACAGAACACTCCTTGTGTCAAGAAGGCTGAGCTAGAACCTGTTCTCCCAGCATGACATCTTTGTTTGGGAGCAATTTTCAGTGATGTGAGCTCCAGAAATGCAGAAATTAATAGAACCAAGAATCAGGTTTGCTATTTCCATGAAAAGTAGAACTGGGTCTACATGGTTTGGAAAAATGCAACAGTACCATTAACATCTTCATACAGAATTAGCTTGCCAAATCCTAGGGCATGGTTTGGAAAATGCAACAGTACCATTAACATCATACAGAATTAGCTTGCCAAATCCTAGGCAGAATACGTTCTCCCTTGCTAATCTTACGGCTTCTCTTCTGCTAAGCAGCCATTTCTCATCCTAAGACCATCACAGTGTTTTTGTAGTCAATGTGTTGCCTTCTCTGTTTCATATTGAATATTAAGGGTCTATACCAGTGGTCCTCAGATGTTCTTGGACTACAACTCCCAGAAACCCTGGCCAACACACTTAGTGGGCAAGGCTTCTGGGAATTTTAGTCCAAGAATATCTGGGGACTCAAAATTAGGAGTCACTGGTCTATGCTATCAACAAAGAGCGTAGAAGGAAAGAACTGACAGACATCATTGAAATTTATTGGAGTTTGGAGTTAACTTGTGACAACATAGATAAGCGTCCTTGCTAAAGTATACCTGAGAGTAATGTCTTTGACATTTTGTAGTGGCCCGGTGTTTCTGCACTTTCTTGTTTACTCTGTAATTCTATCACTCTTCAGAAATATGAGGAATTATTATGGCAAGAATTGCTGCTGAAAAAATGTCATGGGCCTCCCTTTGGAATTTTCTTATTATCTTTTTATTTTTCTGATATAGGCAGCAAGCTTTATTCCATGTCCTGTCAGCATACTCTGTTTACAACACGGTAAGAAGAGATTCTGTTAGAAACTGAAAAGTTCTGATTTTAGTTCTTATTTGGCAATAAAATTTCAGTTTAGCATAAAACTTTATGTTTAATTTGGCAATATGTACTTTGGGGCATGGTAATGCAATGCCCTGTAAGTCATTAAATGCAGTAAAAGAGTTCAGTTCAACTAAAACAAGTTGGGTGTTGTTGATTTTTTTAACAGTTACATACCTATGAGTTTCAGCTGCTATTAACAAAATCAGTGGTACTTGTTTAAAAAGAGAATGTTTTTTAAAAAATCAGTTCAGGAGGCTTCATGCAGAAGGAACTTTAACAGATTGCAACCACGTTGTGGGACCTGCTTTTACATGAAGAGTGGTGCAGTCATACATACAAACCTATAGCTGTGCTGTTGTTGTGCTTTCTGAGTGGCTTCTCTGTGACTCTAGCTTGCCATCAAATGAGGATATTAGTTCATTCTCTTTGTGACCTCTTTTGCTGATTCAGTGGTAGCTTCACGGCTCAGGACTCCAATTTGTTACAGTCGGTTAACTCATTTCTAGCCAAAGGGCATAGAGGAGAAAATATGCTTAAATTAGCTACAGAATTTGCTGTTTCCATGTGCCAGCAGGGGAAGGATTAACCTAGATGATCCAAGCATACAGAGACACATTTTTTCAGTGTTTTACAGAAGGCAGTTATCCTTTCCTTTGAATGGGTTCCCCGCTAAGAATTTAAAGTGTGATTTTTACATCTTCTTGTTTTATGTAGTTATGCTTACAATAATTGTAATGCCATTTGAATTCATTTTGTAAATGTAAGAAGCGACTTGCTAGCTGTACTTTTATGGTAATTTTATATGACACTGGAACTTCCGTCTTCTGCTTTAAGATTTTGGTTTCAATTATTGTTTATTGACTGGTATTGATGTTTAGTCAGTTCTGATTGAAAACATAATGTTGCAGTTGTTATATCATACAACAGAGGTTACCTGTGTGTATATATGATACAAATAATATCTTACATATATATTATATGCAAGAGCACACAGCAAAACCATTGGAACTCTAAGCATATGTTGTGTGGAAAAGCCAGGAAACATAGAAAGATGGCAGTACCTGTTATCAAGGAGACAGATAAAGAGAAGCATGTTAAAGTCTGACAGGCTCTAGGACTAGGTAAGTGGCAGAGAAGTTTTAGCCCTTTGAGGAGCTCCAGGATCAAGTGTTATAAGTTGGAAATTGTGACATTTTTGTATTTTCCCTAAGGCACAAGATTGGTTAAAGTGCCTACTTTTGGAACCTTTGAGAAGGCAAGATTACTTGACTGTGTCTTGCAGTTGTGGAGAATTCTGAGATACTGTAGTATCATGATGGTTAAGGAGCAAGCAGCTGAATGTATGGATGTTGGAAATAAGTCCTAGTGTGTGACAGGGTTTGCTACATTCTTATTTAGTGAACAGGCAAGAAAATAGGATGTAATCTTTCTTATAAGCTGGCCTTGCAATGGAATTGTGGCCTAGGTGGACTTCTGGTTTTTATGTGAACATCTGCTTTTTTGAGTTCTCCTTCAGCTGAATACATATGAATGTATAAATCTGCCTTGTATTGATTATTCTTTTAAAAATAACTTGGTACAAAATTATGTCACTTTTTTAGACAGAAGTTAAATTTTGTAACTGCTGGAAGTGTAAACTACTGTGGAAGCTGATCTTGTGTAACATATCTCTGTGTCCCTGAATTTTTCAGGAAGTCAGCTATTGTCAGGGAATGAGTCAGATTGCAGCTATCCTCCTGATGTATTTAAATGAAGAGGATGCCTTTTGGGCACTGGCACAGCTGCTTACCAATCAGAGACATGCCATGCATGGTAAGGTTCCTCTGAAAAATGCTCTTATCCCTCCCTGCCACCAGTATTTTTCTATTGTCTTTCAGTCATATGCAACCGAGATTGTTCACATCAGTTTTGAGTTGTTCCATTTAAAACAGAGAAGGGTAACTCTGGTCCTCCAGATGTGATTGGATTGCAGCTCCCAGAGTTCCTCACCATTGGCTATGTCAGTCAGTGCATGTGGAAGCTACAGTCTGACAATGTATGGAGAGCTACACTGTGCCTATCCCTGATCTAAAAATTAGGCTTCAGTTTCCTGCTTGCTTCTCACTCCTGTCTTATTTCTCACAATGTACAGAAGGGTCTCTTGATCCATCCAGTTAGCCCTCTGCTATGTAACCCTAAAATACTAGAGTCCTTTGGACTCTGCTTGAAATACATGGCAGAATGCAATTCTTAAGATTTCTGACCAGACACATTAGGAAATGTGGTTAGTTGTTTAAAGTTTCTTCACATTAGAACTCTTTTCATCATGCTGGAGCTTTAGGAAGAAGTAGAGAAAGGAGGGTGTGTTAGCTAATATATAAGTATAAGAGACAAAAGTTGGGGGGAGCACCCTTTGATCTCTTTGCATATGCAGTCTTTAAAAAAATTCTAGGCCTCCAGCACACCCTCTCAAAAGAAACTTCCTTGTGAGTTAAAGAGAAACCTGCTAGAGTTTTGTTATGATAAAAGGACAAGATATCACACTACAGAGAGCACTGCCGTGCTGTACCAAAGATATGACACACTTGGTCCAAATGCTGTCAAATCAGTAAGAATCTAGTTAGCAGTCTTTGCTAAGCCCAGAGGATTTGGGGGGAAATAATAAATGCTTAACCTTCAGCCACAGCATCCTCCTTGGTCACGCATAGACTTCCAGATCTTGTCCAAATGCAAACTAGCAAAGATAAATATTGGCCTTTAATGCCATGTATCCCCTGCATCTTCCTGAGGTATCTTGGGAATTTATTATCTCCACTATGTTCCACATTAGCTGCTGATCTGTTCAGTCTTTTTTAAATTCCTTCTTATTATGCTTTTATTGTATGTTTTCTCTTCCAAGGATTTTTCATTCCTGGATTCCCAAAGTTGCAGAGGTTCCAAGCCCACCATGAGGCCATCTTAAACAAACTTTTTCCAAAGCTGAAGAAACACATGGTAATATTTTCTGTTGTTATGTCAGCATTTATTATATACCTTTAATTTTATATCAAATTTACTGATAAATACTTTACCCATGCACTACATTCTTTTTCAATTTTTTATTGCTGTTATCAGAGACATTTGAATTTATCTAAACCTTCTCACTATGCCAACCTTTCAAGTAAGTAACGACAAACAAGGATACTCTAGATTAGCAGGACTAGCAGGTATTTCTCCTTCAAATTGGTAGTCTAGACGCTTTGATTGAGGAGAGTGGCAACAGTGCTAATAGGAACAGGTTATGCCTTTCTTGGTTTATATTACATTTCCTGTTTTAAAAATTCCGCTGAGCTTTGCCAGAATGTGTTGAGGATGTCTACCAAATATTGTAGAAGCTATAGTAGTTGAGCTTCTTTTTTGCCTCCCTATAGGATTTTCCAGCAACAGATCAGAGTAATTGTCTGGCCTTCCCAGTCTGTTTCTGAAGGATGCACTTTAATGGTTAATGACAAATAGTTCCATTTTAATATTTGTATAGCAAATCCTATAAATTTGCAAATGACTATTTATAGTATTGTGTTTGGTAGTGAAGGCAAGAAGAATGCATTGATTGTCCAAGGTGGAGTAGAATATAAAATATAACCTTGTAAGTATCTGGCAAGAGTGGGCATTGCTTTGATAAGAAGTGAAGTCACTTTAACATAATGGATTTTAATTTAAGGAAGGGCAGGCAAAGAGAAGAGTATTTTGAATGTAAATTTGGAGACATTTGGGATATGACTGGTAGATATGAATGTTAAAACAAAATTTACTTTTCAAATCTCCACTGTATTTGTCAAGTAAAATGAGTATTTTCCTGATTTGATTCTCCCTTAGGACAAAGAGCAGATGTCTACAGGGATTTATACAACCAAGTGGTTCTTGCAGTGCTTCATTGACCGGGTACGGTCTTGCTTAACAACTTCAATGTCTTTATTTATTCTATATAACTTTTAATAATTCTGTTCATTTAAAATATTTTATTTTTTCACTTCTTAATATTTTCATGAACTGAGATGATGGCATAGTTTGAATGATAAGCAACAAGTTCTTCTTTGTGGCCACTGTGAATGGTCACAATTGGGTTGTTCTGCGCCTGCACAGGACATCTCAGAAATTTCTAGAGCTTAAAGGCATGTGATTAGTAGGACATTCCCCTGTGGAGTGCATGCTCCACCCTCCCAATGTCCCCTTAGTTCCTTTTTGCTGCCACTTGGTTGGACGTATTTCGGAACTACAGTGGTACCTCACAAGACGATTACCCCTCAAAACAATGAATCCGCATGACGACGTTTGGCGACCGCTATTTTGCTTTGCAAAACAGTGATTCCTGTGGGGGAATTTGGCGACCCCTATTTTGCTTTGCAAAACAGTGACTCCTGTGGGGGAATTTCGCTGGACAATGATTGGGTCCATGCTTCACGGACCGTTTTCTCACAAGACGACGATTTAAAACAGCTGATTGGCAGTTCGCAAAATGACTTTCCTAAGGCCAATCTTCGCTGGACGGGTGTTTTCAGACCCGTTTTTCGCAAGACAGTGATTTAAAACAGCTGATCGGTGGTTCGAAAACGGTTTCCCTATGGGTGATCTTCGCAGGACGACAAGGTATTTTCCCCATTGGAACACATTAAACGGGTTTCAATGCATTCCAGTGGGGAAAGGCTTTTCGCTAGACAACGTTTTCGCTAAACAGCAATTTCAATGGAACGAATTAACATTGTCTAGCGGGGCACCACTGTATAGAGCAAGTATTAATCTAACCAGCTATTTCAATCATTTCCTTTTATTTCTCAATCATCTTTGTTATTAGATGTTCCCCTGTAAATTATCTTTATCCTTTTTCAATTCCCATTTGCTGTTTTCTTCTCTTCCCGCATTTTTTCTCCCCCCCCCCAATCGCCACCTTTCTTTCCCTTCTCTCCTACTTTTATGGGCCCTCCCAGGGCCTTTCAAGCGGTGTGTGCTCTGCACGAACAAAATCCCTCTGACAGATGGCCACAATTGCTGTCTCTTTTGCTTAGGGGAACGACATCAAACACACTTGTGCCCCAAGTGCAAGAAGCTCAGTAAGCCCACCTTGAAATTACGCTTGCAAAGGCTTCGATCTTACCTTTGGGAGAGGTCCCTTAACCCAACCTCTATGGCTCCAATAACATCTCCGAATCTGCTAGAAACCACTTGTTCCATATCGAGCCCAATGACTCTACCACCTCGACAAAAGGACCCTTCGAAGTGTGCTTTGAAGTCGAGCTTGACTTCCACCTCAAGAGCTCCAATCCATCTTGATGACTCGTCTAAGAAAAAGAAAGATAAGACTAAGACTTGCTTTGAAGTCGAGGTTGACTTCCACCTCGACAGCTCCAATCCGTCTCGATGACTCATCTAAGAAAAAGAAAGATAAGACTAAGACTAAGAAAACTTTTAAAACCCACAAAATCAACTCGAATTGATCCACCTCAGCTGGTGATTCCTTCACCCATTCTCGAGGAATCATCACAGACGCCCCTCCTTTGATCTCAGATAAAGATGACCCAATCATAACACCGGCTCAGGTTGCAGCCTCCATAGCTAGCCTCTCGCTGAGTACTGGCCTGTCCGCGACTGATGTTCACTCCACCCTGGCCTCGGCCCATTCAAGTCCTCGATCATCAGGGTGGGCAATACCTATTCAGATTTCTGGCTCGGAGTCCTCTCATCATTCTTCCCACAAACACTGAAGAGACGACACCTCTCTCCAATTCAATATACCCCCTCACATCGAGAATTATACTCTTATCCCGAGCCATCTCAATATCCAGCCAGAGATGACTATGCAGACTGATATTATTACTACAACCATTACTGTTCTGAAGCCCTCACTGAACACCTCTATTATGATGAACTGAGGAGAGATATGCTCCTTCACCAAGATATTCACCTTCCATGTTGCCTTCACCACCACGACATCAACACGGTTCAACATCTGCTTACCCTACATCAACTCACCATCCGTCGGCTCCTGCAAAATCGGCCAGAATCTCAGCCACGAGCCAAGTGAGCCAAGCACTCCCGACATCACACCTCACTCCAGGTTAGTACCGCCTACAAGGGGCCTCCTCCCCCCTTCCTGACACTAGCCCTTAAACGTACTTTTCTGATACCAGAATCTCAGCCACGAGCCAAGTGAGCCAAACACTCCTGACATCACACCTCACTCCAGGTTAGTACCGCCTACAAGGGGCCTCCTCCCCCCTTCCTGACACTGAGCAGTGCCCAGTATCAATGCCTACCATGCATCAACTACCTCTACCATTGACATTGGATGCCAGACCACCACACCGATCATCTTTACAATCATCCATTTCTTCTCAAGAGTCAACATCCAGTATATCCCACAAATCACCCTCTAATCTTCCTGTGGCAATCCCCCTGGTTGCCCCTTTATTTCTTTGGGCTCCACAAAGTTAAACACACCTTTTTTTCCCCTTCTTTTCGCTGCCACCAGGTATTTCTCCTAATACCACTACAATTCCCACACACAGGAGCTGCTCATATAACTTAGGAATCAGGGGGTTGATCAAATATTTTTTTATTAATGAACAAAATCATAAGGAGAATCAAACATATAACTGTTTCAGGTGTGCATATATTAGATCATGTATTTAATCACTGGTATTTTTCATGTTATGCTTATGTGTTCATTCCTGCCTGTTCACTGTGTTTTACTCTTTCAATATTCCTTTCTTAACCCCTTTTTATCTATTCCTAAACCCTAGCTCTCTCCACATCTTCTTGTCCCTAATTCTTTCTCTTCCTATCTCATTCCAACTGCCCTTAACTGTCTCTTCCAACCCCCCAACCGTCATTCTGACTCCGCCCGGCCTGCTCTATCTTCTGACTGACATGCAGGAATGATGTCATTTTTTGAGTTCCACTACACTTCCTACCCCTCCTTCTGATGGTGGCGAGAACCATCCTCCATCCCCATCAGAGGATTTTACATCTTATTCCCAGCTGGTCCTGCAAATGGCAAAATCCTTATAGCTCAACATTGAGGAGCCACCACCTCAGAAAAAGGATCTCATCTTTGATGACCTGAATCTAGGAAAAACGTCACCTCGTAGTTTGAGCTTTATTCCAGCTATGCTCGACTTAGTTAAAGAATAATGGGACAAACCCCCCTCTTCACTTCAGATTTCACGCCGCATAGAAAATCATTATAAAACTCACGGTCCAGACACAGCTTTCCTCTCTAAACATCCCATGCAAAACTCTATCATTGTGGAATCCAGTCAATCAAGAGCACGTAACAAATAATGTGTCGCTCTTATCAGCCGAGAAGGAAGAAAACTTTACATTCTCGGAAGACGGCTCTACTCTCTTACTTCATTAATTATGAGAGTTGCTAATTATTAAACCGCAATGGGCGTGTATCACCACCAGCTCTGTGATAAAGATTCTACCTATTATTCAGTTGGCTCCAGACACCACCAAAACAGAAGCCCTCAGTATACATACCAAGGCTTCCACTTTGGCTAAACAGCAAAGAATCGTTGCCCGCCATACAGCAGACACAGCCTCTAAAGCTATGTCCACCTCGACTGCCTTGAGGGGCCCGCCTGGCTGCTATCTGCAGGCATTTTAGATTACATCAAAATGGGATAGAAGATCTTCCCTTTGATGCTGCCTCGCCTTTTCAATGCCGAAACGGATGGGGTCATGAAAAATCTACATAAAATTCACAAAACCACACGCTCCTATTCCATTCAGCAATCTTACCGTTTTCAGCGTCCTTAATTCCGAAGACAACCCTTCTATCAACAACAGTTTCAATCATACCAACAACTATATTGACCATTCAGACCACAGGTACTGGACAGATCCTACCCAGCCCCATCTACATCTACCATACCTTCCTTTTGATCTCAACAGCCACAAGCAAGTTGACAGCTCTTTTGACACCCACAGAAGAAGGGTAAGCAGTATCCATAAACCCCTTCTATCTACACTTCAAACCAGACTCCATCCTTTCATCTCAGCTTGGCACTGAACCACTAATGATCAGTGGGTTCTTTCCATTGTCCAAAACGGCTACTTCATTGAGTTTCTACGTACCTGACCATCTGGCATTGTTAGGACCACCCCCTTCTCATTAGCCCTCCGCGAAGAAGTTTCCCTTCTTCAAAAACAGGCCATACTCATAGTCTCTTCCCCTACATCACGAGGGATTTTTCTCCGGGTATTTTACAGTTCCCAAAAAGGATGGAGGACTCCGCGCTATCCTTGACCTCATATTTTATTGTAGGCATCCTTCAGTCTCGAGAGACTATGGTATCGTGCTCTGTATGGAGGTCTTGGAACAGTGTCTTGTGTGGCTGAGAAGGCCAATTCGAGAGTGACAATCCCTTCCACACTGGAGACAAATCCAATCTGTCCCCTGTCCAGCTCCCTGGTTTTGCTTGTTTTGGGACTGCCTCTTTGCCTCGCTCTGCTGTACAAGCGTCTCTTCAAATTGGGAGAGGCCATGATGCACCGCCTGCCTCCAGGCTGAACGCGCAGACGTCAAGGTTTCCCATCTGTTGAGGTCCATTCCTAAGGCCTTCAGATCCTGCTTGCAGATGTCCTTGTAACGCAGCTGTGGTCTCCCTCGGGGGCGGCTTCCCTGCACTAATTCTCCATACAGGAGATCTTTTGGAATCTGACCATCAGCCATTCTCACGACGTGCCCAAGCCAACATAGACGGCGCTGTTTCAATATTGTATACATGCTGAAAATTCCAGCTCGTTCTAGGACTAGCTTGACCTCAGAAACCTTAATAAATTCATCCAACCCAGATGTTTTCAAATGTTAACCCTCAACACTATCATCCCTCTCCTTTCACAGGGAGACTGGTTTGTTGTCATTGACCTTCAAGATGCCTACTTTCCACATCTCTATTCATCCACTTCATCACAAATTCCTATGATTCCGATTCTACAAAGTCTCATACCAATTCTGCTCTCTCCTGTTCAGGCTTTCCACAGCACCGAGAACTTTCACCAAATGCATGGCACCAGTTGCAGCTTACCTTCGACTGCAAGGTACCATTTTCCTGTATATAGACGACTGGTTAATAGTTGCTCCTTCTTATCATGACACAGTCAAAGCTACCCAGCTAACTCTAGATACTCTTCAGGATCTAGGTCTCAGAGTAAGCCTTACCAAATCTCACCTCAAGCCAACACAAACTGCCACCTACATCGGGGCATATTTAGATTCCCTTTGAGCCAGAGCCTTTCTCCCCCAAGAGAGAATCACCAAACTGAAACAAGCCATCCGACCATTCCGACCTTTAGCCTCGGTATTGATGCATCAAGCCCAGCACCTCCTCGGGCTCATGGCTTCTACCACAGCCATTGTCCAACATGCAAGGCTCAAAATATGATCCCTACAATCATGGTAACTATCTCTATTTGATCCCATATCAGACCACCCTTCCAAATGTCTCATAGTAACATAAGAACTTGCCAGTCAACTCACCTAGTGGACATTCCTGCCTCATTTGATAGGTAGGCAAACCCTTCCAACCTTTACAGCTTTCCATACAAGTCACCACCAATGCCAGCACATCGGGATGGGGAGCCCACTGTCGACATCACAAAATACATGGTCTATGGACAAAACAAGAACAATTATTGCACATCAACATCTCGAACTCTTAGCAATCATCAGAGCCTTCCATGCCTTCTTACCCCTCATTGCAGGACGAGCAGTACAGCTAGCTACAGACAATACCACAGCACTGTACTGTGTAAACAAACAAGGAGGTACCTACTCCCTTTCGCTCTTGTATCTAGCAATCGAACTTTGGGAATGGTACTACCTACACCACATTTTCCCATCCACGTTTCCAAAGATGACAACCGTCTTGCACACCGTCTCAGTCCTCTTACCACAAGGACACATGAGTGGGCACTGAACGACAAAGTTTTCAGCTTTCTCTGTCACCGATGGGGTATTCCGTCCATCGATCTCTTTGCCTCCGAGACCAACACCAAGTGTCAACAGTATTGCTTCCAAGCCTGTGTCGACACAAACTCACTCGGAGATGCCTTCATGATAGACTGGATCGGAGACCTACTTTACCTATTCCCCCTGATTCCACTCATTCAACAAACCGTCATTCGACTTCAACAATTCCCTTCTGATGCTATTCTCATCGCCCCATGGTGGCCACGTCAACCATGGTTCACCCATCTGAGATTGATGTCGACCAACATGTTCCATCTCCCACCGATCCCCAACCTTCTGACCCAGGACAACGGATTTACCACCCCGATGTACACTTTCTGAATCTAACAGCATGGAGGATAATCTCGCTATACGAAACGTATTAGATCGAGCTATAAATCCATATACCCTAAAATTATACCGAAATAAATGGAAATCTTTCCTCTCCTTTGCCCATTCTCAGAACTTACCTGCAACACCAGTTTCTTTGAAGACCCTGCTTACCTTTATCTTCTATCTCTTTCATCTCGGACTATCCCATTCTACCTTAAAGGTTTATACTTCAGCTGTTGTAGCCCATCAGCCTTCTCACTCTGATTCAGCAAGATTTTTCTCCCACCCAACTGTAAAGAAATTCCTCAAGGGACTCCAAAATATTCAGCCCCCATAGAAACACCCTCTCCCACAGTGATCCTTACAACTTGTCCTCAGCGTGCTCACTCAACCACCCTTCAAGCCAATGGGTACTTGCAATCTTAAGTTACTTTCTCCAAAGACATCATTAAAAGGTAAAGGTTCCCCTTGACATTTAGTTCAGTCATGTCCAACTCTAAGGCACGGTGCTCATCTCCGTCTCCAAGCCATAGAGCCAGCGTTTTGTCTGTAGACAGTTTCTGTGGTCATGTGGACAGCAAGACTAGACACAGAATGCCGTTACCTTCCCATCGTGGTGGTATCTATTTATCTTGTCTATTTATCTACTTGCATTTACATGCTTTTGAGCTGCTAGATTGGCAGGAGCTGGGACAAGCAATGGGAGCTCACTCCGTCTCATGGATTCAATCTTACGACTGCTGGTATTCTGACCTTGCAGCACAGAGGCTTCTGTGGTTTAGCCCGCAGCGCCACCACGTCTCCGAAGTACATCATTCCTTATAGCAATAACATCTGCCAAACGTGCCAGCAAACTTGTGGCCCTCAGATCAGATCCACCTTATCTTCAATTTCATCCAGACAAAGTTACCCTCTATTTTGATGTATTGTTTTTACCCAAAATTGTCTCTGAATTTCATCTCAATCAACCATTGATTTTACTAATTTTATTTCTGTCTCCTTCCACACCCCTCGAACGCATGCTCCACATGCTTGATGTATGACGCTCTTTGGCCTTCTACATTGATAGGACAAGGTTATTCAAGAAATTTCCAAGATTATTCTAATGTTTTCAAGGTCCTCATAAGGGTGCACTAGTTTCACCCCAAACAATATATTGTTCAAACTATATTGTTGGCCTATGAACTCTCGGGCAAGACACTTCCCGAACATTTGAAAGCTCATTCTACCAGAGCATTGTCAACCTCTACTGCTCTCCACCGTGGAATAGAGCTTCCACATATTTACCATGCAGCTACATGGTCTAATCCATCGACTTTTGTGAGACACTATCGCCTTGATGTACAGGCAAAAAATGCTGCTGCTGTTGGTAGAGCGGTCCTGATATCTCTTCTACCATGATGTCCCACCTTCCGGTAAATGAGCTTGTCAGTCATGTGTGCATTTACAGAGGCCACGAAGAAGAAAGAGAGGCTACCTACCTGTAACCATGGTTCTTCTAGTGGTCCTCTGTGAATCCGCACATCCTACCCATCCTACCCTCTGTCCATCACATTGTCTTTTTTAATAGCCTTTGACAGCAGCGGACCCTTACAGAAACTAAGGGGACGTTGGGAGGACGGAGCATGCACTCTATGGGGAACGTCCTACTAATCACATGCCTTTAAGCTCTAGAAATTTCTGAGATGTCCTGTGCAGGTGCAGCACAACCCAATTGTGTGGATTCGCAGAGGACCACTAGAAGAACCGTGGTTACAGGTAGGTAACCTCTCTTTCTGTTATGCATGGAATTTGGGGTTGATCAGGTTTTCTTTCTAATATTAAAGTGCCAGAATACAAACCATATTTATCTGAATTTACCTATGGGATGTAGAGTAAACAAATGGCCATATATGTCATGGAGATGCCTTTGACATGTGGCAACCTAGTAGGGTTTTTAGGGTATGAAATGTTTAAGACATGGTTTATTATTGCCACCCTCCAGCAAGCTTCCATGGCTGAGCAAGGATTTGTACTGAGGCCTATTGAATTTTAGTCTGACAATGTACCACTATGCCACACTGGTTCTCAGTGAACAAAAGTCACTTAGTCTTGAATGTGGTTTGAAAATAAATACTGGCTTGATATTGGATATTTTGCTTCTGTACGTATGCCCTGTGATTTCTTTCCAGAAGCCTAATTTTTTTAAATTATTCTTTTAACATTAAAAACAGACTCCGTTCACTCTAACACTACGGCTTTGGGATATCTACATCTTGGAAGGAGAGAGAGTTTTGACAGCAATGGCTTACACCATCCTCAAATTACATAAAAGTAAGCTGCTTGAATGAACTGTTCATTGCAAATGATTGAGGCCAAAACCGTGAACATGAGGTCCTGTTTTCAAAGACAAGAGTCCCAGAAGAGGTTGTGTTGCATTGCCCAAAACATGAAGAGGCAACTCTTGGCCTTAATATTGCAGTATATTTTTGTTTAAATTGTTGGCTTTGTTTATTTGTGAAGTTTTTTTAAAATTAGATTTGGTTCTGTGTGCTTCCACAGCAGTTCTTGAGATATGCTTTAGTGCTGTGTCTCCTAGGTTATTTCATGAAACCATAGTGACAGCAAATAGAGAAACATGTACATAATTCAACACTCTCTGAACTTAAAGGAAAGCCATTTTGTTTGTAATCAAGGAAGTAACACTAGATTTCACCACCAAGTATTAACCAACCATGAATAGAATCTAATTTGAGGATCAGGTATGCCAGTCCTAAGAAGGAATCAGAAACATGGTTCTACACTTCCTATCTCCAAAAGAATCAAACATACTATAGAATAATTGCTTTATACTGAGATAGCACTGGTTTATATGACTTCTGTACTACCCTGTTTCCCCGAAAATAAGACCTAACCTAAAGACAAGCCCTAGTATGATTTTTCAGGATGCTCATTATATAAGCCCTACCCCCAAAATAAGCTCCAGTTACGTGAAACCCCACCCTCCACCATTGTGCAGCATCCAGAAGAAGATGACATGACTGTATTTGAATGAATGTAGATTGTTGTATATGGAGAGAAAACATCCCCTGAAAATAAGCCCTAATACTTTTTTGGAGCAAAAATTAATATAAGATTCTGCCTTATTTTCAGGGAAACACGTTATATACCATCCATTTTCATTTATCACATAGTAGTTACTTTGTATTCTTTCTGTACAAGATGAGTTCTTCATGTCTAGCAGTTGGGAATGATTGATTCCCCACGCCATTGGAGATCTTTCTTTTTAATCATTTGCAGTGGTGTGTAGGAAATAACATGACAGATGTGTAAAAATGAGTCATCCTATGAAGACAGTTACATATGTAATACATTATACAGTGTTCTTGACCTGGTACTTCCTGAAGAGATAAAATGTGTCTGGTTGATATCACATCAGACTACAAGTCGGGCTCACATTAATTAACTGATTGATAATCTATACCAGATAAAATACAAAATTCTGTACATGCTAGTTGCATCTGGGAGAAGGGTTCTAGTGTAGATATCTTACTGACATTTATTTTTCTATGTACAGGGTACATCTTTTGCATAGGTAACATTTTATTGTCCCTATGGCACCATCCATGGCTTTGCTTACAAATGCATTCTATATCTGCTGCATAATGGCATAAACTGGTGTACCCTGTCTCTGTGATTAAAAAAACCCTGAGTGAACCATAATTTGGGTGGCATTCACTTGTGTCTAGACAGTCACTAAAGGTTACCAGATGGTCTTAGCTAGCTGCTATTTTGTGCAAACCCCTCGCACACATTAGGGAAAAAAAAGTCCTGCCTTCTGCTTTGCATTCTTAACACTTCCCATATATGAAAAAAAGAGGATGGCTTGGAAAATTAAACGACTTTCCTGAAATCTAAGGGATGAAACAATAATTTTGATTTAAAGTGTTCGTTTCTCTTAAATGTATTTTTTCTTTTTGGATATGAGAGACCATAGAAGAAGGAAGGGTAATTGGGAGATATTTTTCTGACAAATTCCACTGTGGGACAGCAATATTAGTTTGTAATAGCAAATGCAAAGAAGAATCTTGAGGCACTCTAAAGAGTAACAAAATCATTACAGTGCTTTTTGAAGGTGTGAGCATTGAACACTGGACAGACCATAGACCAGACTATTTGTCATGTAAGGGGAACAGTTTGTTCAGAACTCGGTGTAAGCCTCTATGCAATATTATATCGGCAGTGGGGAAAAAGAGTAAACAGAGAAATGTGTGATGCACAGTTCTATACGTGTAGTATAATGTGTATTAAAAAGAGCTCACACCCCAAATTTCATTTACACTTTTACCAAGTAACAAATATGTACACATGAAGCAGCCTTTCACAATATTTTTCTAGTTGTGCCCTCCCCTTTATAATAGCCCAGCCACATTTGCATAAAAAGGTGGGACGCACACTGTTGAATGCAGGACGGAATTAAGGCAGAATTCCCCTGGTGGACACTGGCCAACACGGCAGCACTCCTTTCACCAACCCTAAAGCAGGCCAACAGCCCAGGAAATGTGGAAAAAATTCCACCTACCATAAAAATAAAAGCAGGAGAGAGGAAATTTGTGACAGCAGCTTGCATAACTGGCTGGGAATAAATGGCATTGAACTAATTTTCAATAAAAAAATAATCATGAGCTCCTTGGGGGCCATGACTCACAGGTTGCAAACTGGTGACATAAAGGCTAATATCCTATTGACCTCCTGAGTGGAAGGTACTATTATTGTAGTGATGTAGGATTGTGCTGTATGGACAAGTGTTGCTGTTTCCATGAAGAAGGCCTGTCCTCTCTTGTGTAATGGCAGACCTTGTACATTTATTTATTTATTTATTTATTTACCCCACCCCTCTAGACCATGTCTACTCAGGGCGGAGTACAGGCATAAAATTGTGCACTAGTATGCTGGCAGGACTTCCTGCTTGGTGGAAGTTCAATATGATGCTCGCCAATGAGTGTCTGAAGCTAGAGATGTAAATACAGTTGCTTTCACATGGTGTCTGAACACAAGCCATAAAATTTGATTCCTGAGGCCTGTACATTTTTGCCTGGACAAAAACCACTGTGAGAGACTGAGTTTACATCAAATGTAGAATGTAGTTTTACTCCCTCTAGAGGTATAATATCTGGACAGTTCTACATAGGACTACAAACATTCCTGCACCAGGCATTGCTTTAGTCATGCAGAGGTTCTGATTAATTAGAAATAGTACAATAGTACAGTTACCTGTACTAAACAGGAAACACTACACAAATTTCATATTTTATAATGTTACCTTTTATCTAGTAATTGCTACTTCATCATGATCAGCATCATACAGTAGAAAATGGAATCAGAATCCTTATGATATCTTTATTCTGCTGAATCTTCTGCTTAGAGCGCTTACTGAAAATGACCCTGGAAGATCTGAGGGAATTCCTGCAGGAAAAAATTGCTGCTTCCTTGCTGTTTGAGGATGATATTGTGGTTGAACAATTACAAGCATCCATGGCTGAACTGCGCAAAATGAAATTTGACCTTCCACCACCAGGTAAGGAGAACAGGGGTTTCTCTCTCTCTCTCTCTGTGTGTGTGTGTGCGTGTGTGTGTGTGTGTGTGTGTGTGTGTGTGTGTGTGTGTGTGTGTGTGAGAGGGAGAGAGAGAGAGAGAGAGAGAGAGAGAGAGAGAGAGAGAGAGAATGTGGAATGTGAATGGTCTTCTGTGAAACCAACCTTTGATTTTTCTGGCTCAGAAGAATTCACGTTTAGTTCCTCAGGTGTGCTTCACGCATCATTCCATCTTATAACTCTATGTGAGGAGAAGGTTATCCCTGACTATATGGGGATGTGTGAGCACGAAGACAAAGCCCTTTCAAAAGCTACAATTCAACCAGATAAGCTCTTGGGTTAAGGGAACAGGAAGCTGAATCTGTTAGGGGAGGGACAGTAGAGCACATGAATGATGCACAAAGCTACTGGTCGAAACCTTGGCTTTTTCCAGGGTTAAAAAGATTTCTTTCTACCAGCCATTTTTGACACTGCTAAACAGACTATTGCCTGTTTAAAGTATCTTAAGTTCCTAATAAAGAAGCGATTGGTAGGGATTAATTTTGTTTTGTTTATTTAAAAGATTTCTATTCCATCCTTAATTAAAAATTCCCAAGGTAGTTTCCAGTGGCCAAAATCGTGTTGTCTAGCTGTGCCAGCACAACAAAATTGACATCAGTGGCAGATTACTGCTAATTAAAGAGCTGCTACTTTGACTTTGGGTTGTGGTAACTTATGTGGAACTTGTGTACTCTGTGAAATTCAAGCAGACACTTTAATTAATAGCAATGTGCCACTGCTGGTGATGCCATTCCTGCTATATCAGTGTAACTATGTAAAAGAGTACCAGCCATTAACTCATAAAATGGAAACAGCAGTAATCAATAAAATAGTCTGTAGCATGAAAAGGCAATACTAAGAAAACATTTGCAGAGAAATAAAACTACATCAGAGGCAAAAAGACAGTAAAAACTTATTTAATTACATGGCAGCTATAAGAATTGTTAAATTATAGGTGCTTCTTTGGGAAAATAGATCCAAGCTGTCCTGCAACACCAAAATTGGGACTTCTTGGCTGTTTTGAAACAGACACAGATGCATATTTCCAGTTGGTGTGTGGCCTGAAGAAGTACACTTGGCCCACAAAAGCTTGCTGATTGTTTGCTATTTTTAAAGTGTTCTAATAAATCTGTCATGTCTCCTGCACTTGTATTTTGGGAATTATGTGTCTTGGTTGTATGGTCAGTATTGCCTTTAGTGTCTGACAGTTATCTACATTAGTGAATCTAAAAGTGGGTTTATTCTTCCATACTTAAATACGTTGTAGTCATTGTCTCCCCATCTTGCCTTGCTGTGGTACCCTTGCCTTTTCAAGTTTCTCTGTTCTCTAAAACCAGCACACTATGCTGATGGGTTTTAATGCACCTTTCAAGCACTCTCCAGGTCACTAGTGCAGAGTGGTGTTTGACTACAAACCACTGAGAGATGACCCTAAAGCATTGTCTAGTTATTGTCCTGTCAAAGAGCAAATAAGCAAAATGTGACAAGATAAAATGATTTTGCAAAAAATCTCAAACGTCCATACATATCTTATTGGCATATTCTGTTCATGTCTTCCTTCCATTCTGAATATTGGTGTCTTTATACAAGTGTGTCCCGGTTTCTTCCATGTCCCATGTCTCTGATTACATGATTGTCTCCTTTAACTCTTAAGATTTGTAAAAGAAGGAAGTTGAAGTTTAGGATTTCAGTCTGACTGGATGACTGAATTTTTTTTTTCATAGCATGCATCACCTTATAAATATCTGTCATTCCTCATCACCATAGTCTTTTTATTCCTACTGAAAAAACTTGCTTAAAAATTATAGTCTTTCTAAAATAGATAATATTTTACAAAATGGGCCAGTGGGGAGGGGGAGGGAATGCATCATCACATGTAACATTAAAATATATATATTGAACCTGACATTATTTGCATTTATGCATTAATAGTTTTTAATGCTGGGTAGGAGATAGAGATTGGTGTCCTGTTGACAAAAGGTGAAGTCTAAGGTTCCACTTGCAGTGTTGCGCAATCTCTGACTTGCCATTTTGTGATGGCTAGGGATCACCCTGATTATTTGCAGTGAGGTGTACACTTGGCAAGGGGTTGTGCAAGCACTGAAAAGCCCCACCCACTTGCACAGCAGATCATTACATGCACAGAATAGGGCAGGAGAATTTTGTCAGAGTGACTTAAAACACTAAATAAGTTGTTCATAGTTTTCTTTTTAGAATTACAGAGGTGATAATTGCAAACGATACTGCATTGTGTACTTTAAGCAAAATATGTGTGAACATGTCTCCTTAGATTGGAAACATTAAGGTCAAATTTAATTTAAATGGCATATTTCAGGGTTTTTTCTTATCTCTTGAAAGGAAGAGGTAATTCTTGTATTTTCTTCTGTTGTTGATCATTCTGACCTCAGGTAGGCTATTGTTTCAGCCTGCTGTTTGGCCAGGCCACATTTGTAAAAAGGGCTGATCAATGCTTCAGTTCTTTTCATCTAACCATTATGATTGCTGTTAGATTCAAATTAAGAGGCTAATGGGTGATTCATTTTTGTTACAGCAAAATCAGAAGAATTTCCCAAAAAAACCCTGGGACTGGAGCTCTCTCTAAATCTGGTACCAGTGAAGCCAAGTGTTGCAGCTAATGGCCAGCAAAAGGCTGTCAGTGACATGAACCACGACAAAGATGCTCAAACACAACCATCTCTAGATAAAAATCCTTCTCAACTGAGTGAAACCAATGGTAATTCAGATATGGCAATACCTGAGTGTCCCTCCCTTCCACAGTCAACTGGTTCACCTTTGCCAGCTGAGTCACCAGTCAAGCTTCAGAATAATCAGACAAGCCAAACATTGGAAATCCAGGATAAGGAGGTCGAAGAAAATGTCAGCGAAAGCCAATTAGAGGATGATCCTTCAGTGCTGGATGAGGTTCAGTTTATGGGAGAAAGTCAGAATGTGCCTACAGCCAGTGAGGAGGCTGATTCATTACAGAGCAGCAACACAGAGAGGAGTGGTTTGTGGGAAACTAACCCTTGTCTGTTGATGGATGATAGCAACCTTGCTGGTTCCCAAATTCTGACAGAGGACATGTCAATCAACAACTGCCTGTTGGACTCTCACTTAGAGAGTCAGACTTTAGAAGCAGACATTTCTATCAGCCAAAATAGTACAACATCATTATCAGGTTCAGGGTCACCACATCAAGTGCCATTGCTTCTATCCCTTGAAGAACAAAGGACCTTAGAATCGCCTTTATCTTTGCAAAATACAACAGCTCTTCAATATGACAGCACCACCTGCTCCTCTGAGGATATATTATCTGAAGATGCTGTGGTGCTTCCAGATGATGTGTGCCAACTTCCAAGTACTGACTCCTCTTTTGCACCAGCACATAGCTTGTCCTCAGCATGTGATTTGCCTGAATCCATAGTAGCTCCATGTACAGTCAAAGCTCTCACTGCTCTCCTCCCTCCCTCCCAGGAAGTAGAACGACGGCCTTCTAATGCTTCTCAGTATGATAATATGTCTGATGGTGAGGGTGGGGAAGATAAATCACCCATACTGGCAGTTTCAGTGCCACAGACTGATCTCCATAGTCCTGTTTTGAAGTGCACACTGTCCAAATCTGTATCAGTTGGGGAGATAGAAAATCTGGAGAAGGAAACTAGGGAAACAGTAGATCTGGTACGACAGCCAAAAGAACCTAGCCAACCCACCTCATTCACCACTCTGCCCCACCACAAGAGACTGTCTGGGAAAGGCAGTATGCCCCTCTTATCTGAGCTGGACTCTGAGGTGGTGTTGTTGTCAGAAGGCTTCCACAGCCAGCCTGCATCACCCTCAGTGTTCCAGGAACAACACAGCCCCTTCAGGATAGTAAAGACCACCACCCCTCTTCACTTGGCTCATGCTATAGAGCAAGACTTCTTGAGCAAAAAACAGGTGGCTTTACCTTTGCAAGAGGCCAGCCACCTGGATGTAGCACATGATGGGAGATGTACTGTTGCAACCGTGGAAGCAGAAGAGGGTAGGGCTGCTGGGGAATGTGTTCTGCAGTCACAAAATACAAGGGTTGGCTCACCTGCCCTCCAAAAACCAAAAGTACCACCCAAAATTTTTAAAACTCATTCCGACAACAGTTTCCACCAAAGCTGCCCTCCTGTGGTGCAGATGTCTAAATCGGTCACATTCTAAGAGAACTTTGAAAAATGACATTAAGGTACACCATGTTTCTTCATGAGAGGCTGGAATGAAAAAAATGCAGCCTTGTGTAAGTCTAGAGAGGCAATTTCATTGCCAGTCATGCTGGGTCCAAGAATTCAGGAGGAGGGTTTCTGATAGAGGCTAGTCTTTAGCAGAAAATGGCTGGGGAGGCATTCTTTAAAAACTTGGCTTCTCAAGACAGTTCCCAAAGTGCTTTTGAAACTTGTTTTTTATGTCTTGTCCCTCACAAAAGTGTAAATCCACTGAAATAATTTGAACTTTTAAGTGGGTTGAGAAATTTAAGATGAACATCAGGACACTAGTGAGACAGAGTTTGAGGACCATTTCAGTTGCATGTTTAGGCTTGTAAGCATATTTTTCAGTAGCAATAGTTATTGGGTTTTTTTGTTTGTTTTTTGTTTTGGGAATTAATATACTCCTATAAACAAGACTGTGGGTTATTCATGCTAGGGAAGAATGTTTTCACAGCATCTATGCAATATCTTGCCCACACTGCTCGTGTGTGTGTAAGGTCACATGCAGTGAAGTCAGGCAGTTCAGCATGTCTGTTCTTTTTTTTTTCTTTGTGGTCCCCTCACCTGTTTGGTGAGATTTCTCAAAGAGTAGTAAAACATTCCGCACAGAAGAGTGATTTTCCATTCCGTTTGACTATGTAACAAGCTACATAGAAAGCAGAGGCAACTTCTGAGAGAAGCCAAGGTGGCCATCTGGATTTCAAGTGCCAAATCCTTAGCAGCAGGTTTGTTTATGCACTTGAACCATGTGCACCAAGTACTCCAGGAGGGATGGAAGTAGTAGACAGAGGAAGAACTGCAGCAAAATCTCTGCAGCCATGGGTTATTTCGGGTGCAGGTTCTAGAAGTGAGCTGGCTCACACCTCTGCAGGTAACTATAATGTTCTCCAAGAACTAGAATTGCCCTGACTGGTACTAAATGGTAGTGATTAAACTGCAGCAGCTCCATGTAACTGACACAAAGTGGTCATTATGTCCAATCCAGCCTTGTGGAAAGCATGTTGAAGATAATGAAAAAGGCATCTGCAGCCCCATCCGTTGCATGTTTACATATAAAAATTCACACAGACATGTGTCCCATAGGATTGCTTTCCTATAGCCTTGAAGTTATTATTTGCAGACTTTTCTGTTCTCAGCAAAGTGTGCAGTAGACAAGAAAAAAAAATGCAGTTTTAGAAAATAGTCTTTAGAAGGCAGGACATAAAATGTGCTTTATGAATACAGGTATTACTAAAAGCCTAGCATTAAACAGGAAATTGCTCAAGGCCTAGTTTTTCCAGTTATAAGCTTATAGCTGCTGTAGCTTCTTAACCACAGTCCAGCACAAAAGGAACCCTCTGTCTTCTGTCAAGTTTTTCAGGGCTGAATTGCCTGTCGTAGTAAAGGATATGTGAAGGTGTTACACAGACTGGTCCCATCAGTGTTCACATCATCCTCTACCCCACCCCTTTTAACTGATTGACCAGTTGTGCCTCAGTGAAGAGAAATGCCTCTAAATCAAGGAAAGGATAACACAAGAAGTACCCAATTGATGAGCGGCAAATTTTTGTACTTCTGTTGCTCTACTGCCCCCTAATGGTGCCTTAGGTAAACTCTCCCTGTGGATCATAAAATGAAGTCCCAGTTCTTTAGTATCAGCTGCATTTCCATTTAACTGATTTGGATGGGTTAAATGGAAATGCAGTTGGTATCAGGCAATTAGGGCTTTCCTTTATCATCCACGACGTGGTGGCGCTGCAGGTTAAACCACTGAAGCCTCTGTGATGCAAGGTCAGAAGACCAGCAGTCGTTAAGATCGAATCCATGAGACGGAGTGAGCTCCCGTCACTTGTCTCAGCTCCTACCAACCCAGCAGTTTGAAAGCATGCAAATGCGAGTAGATAAATAGATACCACCACAGTGGAAAGGTAACAGAGTTCCATGTCTAGTTGCGCTGGCCACGTGACCGCGGGAACTGTCTACGTACAAACGCTGGCTCTGTGGCTTGGAGACGGGGATGAGCACTGTGCCCTGAAGTTGGATACAACTGGACTAAATGTCAAGGGGAACCTTTACCTTTACTTCACCTTTATAATCCACAGGGAGAGTTTGCTTGAGATGGCACTGGGAGCCCAAATGCCTGGCTTTTCTCAGTTCAGCTTCCTTTATTATCTCTGGAAACCATGCTTAATGCCTCCCTAAGGGTAATGTCAGGAGAGGGGGGGAAAGAGAGTGAAGTCACTGCTAATTTTAGATGGTCAGAAGCTCCCACAAGGAAGAACAGAGCTCATCCTAGCAAAACTTTGAATTTATTTTTCTACCTGTTGCATAGTGGTTAAAAAAAAACACATATCTCTGTATAACAGTCCCTCCACTCTAGTATTTAAAGGGTAAAGATACATGCTCTCTATTTGTTCAGTGGTTTCCAGAGCACAAAAAGAAATGTTCAAAAACTATTGAATTCCATTTGGAGGATTTCCTCGGGTTGCACAACATCCATTTAGCCAATTGAAGTTAAACTTAGTAAGGGGTAGTTTGACCTTTCAATTCTTGTACCTCCTTTATCTCACAAGATGGGATCAAATGCTCAGAGCTATTAAAATCATCCTATAGTAGCTTCTCTTTAAAGGTACCTATCAATACATTTTGCAGCTATGAAATGTACATTGCAGTAAATGCCCACATGCCTTGAGCCAGTAATGGACATTTCCTTACTGAAAGACTAGCTGATAGACATGATATGCTGTGAGAAAATGTAACTGTTAGCTACGGTTACATATTATAAGGCCAGAATAAAAGAAATATCAGATTCCTGAACAGTGTAACTTTAAACCTAGGTTAGGAAAGCCCAGTTCCCTAGCTGGTGTTGGACTCCTGATTCCCTTTAGCTCTATCCAGTATGACCAGTGGTCAAGGTTAATAGGAGTTGTAGCCCAACAGCTGTAGGGACATATGTTCTCTATCCCAACTTTAAAGATTTAATTACACAGAACTCTCCCTAGTAGAAAGCGTCTCACTTTGCTCCAGCTGCCAGTATTTTTACTGTTCTTGAATTGTGCTTCTAGACAACAAGTTGAGCAGGACTGAGGCCCATATAAAGTTAGTATTATTTTTTATTGATGCATGTATTCCTTTTACTGTCACTTTTTTCTTTCTATATGCTTGGATAACCCCACCTTTAAAATGCTGTCTGAAATTTTCTGGAATTCTGATACCCTGCTGGAAAAATAATTCTAGATCTGGTACTTTGAAGCACAATAATACCGTTTCTTTTTTCTTGTTCCTGTTCTTCCCTGCACACATACATTTATTTCAAATTAAGGGAGAATGGCACCGGAACAAGAAGGGAGGCATCAGAACACAGTGAATTGCAACAAAGTTCTGTTGGGTCACATACAATCCTAGAATGAGTTGCTCGTCTTCAGATCACATGCTTGCCAATGGTTTGCCTTTTAAAGTCTCTTTCCTGTTCCTAAATATATTTCAAAATAATGAACAATGAGAAGGAATTTATGTTTTCTGGAGCCTCTTTTCTATGTCTCTCTCCATACCCCAACACAGTATCCCTGTTCACAAACCAGTTGGCATTAAAATAATTGCTGCTTTTAAGGGCTTTCTTAGAGCTCATTGATTGCCTTCCCTTCAGGCTCACCAGTGCTATCCTCCCGCAGGTCATTGGCTGAGATCCTGTTGCTGTAGCTTACACTGCATAAGACTGGTATTGTCAGCAGCAGTGATTTTTTTTAAAAAAATTAATCATTTCCAACTTCTCTCCTGAGGCTCCCATGTAATCCTTTTCATTCTCATGATGCTGTGGAACAGGAGGCGAAAACCTTTAATTGTCCCAAATTGCCACCAACTGTGAAGTCATTCTAGCAGCAGTGATTTTCAGCAGTAAAAGATATTCTCCTCCTGTCCAGCAGCTTGCATGACTTCCTGACAATGAAAGGGATTACACAGAAGTTTGGGAAGTGTAGTAAATGATGTTTGATTTCTGAAAAATTGCCATGGCTATGACATCATCAGTCTTATGCAGTGTGTGTTACAGTAAGAGGATTTCAGCCACAAGATTATACCCATTCAGCATAGGGGTATATAGAGCAGGGTTCCCTGTCTCCATGGTACAGGGAGTTACCTGTGTAGCCACCCTAGAAAATTGAGGTGGTGGTGGTTTTTTAAAATCCCCTTTCATCACAATCATTAACATAACAGGCTCCATTCAAACACTATCACATTACACCCAATTGCCTTAGTAAGTGATAACTGTGGTAGCAAACCAACAACAAAATATGTATAACTGAATGATCAAAAATGTGATGTTTTGCAACAGAAGTATTACCTTGACAGAAAATGTTAACATCCTCTAGAAGTAACAGCACTGCATGTATTTTTTCACTAAGTTGACTGTGCAGAAAAACTCCAAATTTTAATTTGTATAGATCTGAGCTAAAGCTGAAGGAGTTATAGGAATTACAGTTGTTTGCATGGATTTGAGATAATATTTTGCCCCATTTTGTGTCTCCATGAAGTGAAAAGATGCAAAATTTCATAGTAGGCTAGTCTCCTTGAAGGTTGCAGAGATCCTGAAAGATATTTATCTACAGAGTTTTATTTAATTACTCTAATAAAAAAAGAAAGAAGGGCAGCAAAGTCTGAAACAGGAAGAGACTTAGTCTGTCTCCTTCTTGAGACATTCCATTTGCTCTGTAATTTTGATTAAGACAACAAGCTGAACAGGTCTGAGATCATTATAGGCAAACTCTCAATATAGAGCTATAACAGATGTTAAACATGCATAAGATTAGTGGAAAAACTAATCGGCTCCATAGCCCTACTTGATGGGAGGCAGATGCTGCCTAGAGAATGAGGCAAGATACTCATTCATTTTTACATGTATTAGACATGTAGCTGGCTTGTATGCATTAGGAATGTAAAATGTAGCTTTACATGTAGGTTTTCATCACACTGCATACTGTATTTTGAAAAGACGTTAACAGTTGTGCAGTTGCTAGTAAAACCTGAGTAAAATAGTAACTAGTGTTATATATGTTTAAAATGTAGCATTTTCCTAGTAGTATAGCCACCAAAGTAAAAAAAATGGAAATTGGCATTCTTTGCTTCCCAGTGTAGTATCTGTGCCAAGGATGTCCTCTCTGTTGTTGGTACGTATAGCATTATCTGACATGTGCTGCACTCCTGTGTTAAACCCCAGATAGAAAGGAAGCAAATTCAAACCATTCCTACATCATAACTTGTTTTTCTGCACTATTTGCCTAGAATTACTGTAATTCTCTTCATCTGAGAACTTTATTTGAAGTCCAGGCAAATGGTCAACAATTATTCCCCCCCCCCCAATTACCTGTGCCAACTATAGTTAGGATGCTGCTACTGGAAACAGAGTGATGGAGACCAGGGCACAATGCATGGTTCTACATACTGTCCTGCTTCCTCCCAGGTATTCCTTTTAATCCAACCTCTGTGTCCTATAGTGATGGTACTGGGACCAAATCAAAAGTGAGGAGGGACATAAAGGGGCCTCATTTGGTGTATATATCTGAAGTTCTTCCTCCTCACCTGGAATTCTAGCTCAGTGTAACAGAGCCTAACGGCACCAATAAATCTCTTGATGAAAAAAAAACTGCTTTAGATTTTTAAAAGCTTCAGAAAGCTAAAAAAAATCAGCTGAAATACCTGGAGAGGAAAGATAGAGTTAGGCAATGTCAGGGGTAAAGCATACTCTAGGTAGGATGTAAGAGGAGTCAGTAAGGTGCGCCGTTCCCATGTGAAAAGGATGGAGGCATTTCATCTTTTCAATGGAGGCATTTTGCTGAGGTGGTGGTGTTTATTCACAAATATATTATGAAGCAGTCTTTTTGTTTGTTTTTGGAGTTTCTGCATATGGTGAGCACTCATTTGTGTGCAGTTAGGCAAGGAACAACTTTTCTTCAGTCTTCTGGCAGCATTAGAGATGTTCTTTGTGTAAACAGAGTATGTTTACTCAGACTAGACTGCCACATGCAGGGAATTACTTGGAGTTTAGTTTGAACATCAGATGTATTTACTTAAGGTCTGTTTTACATGAAATTGAAAGAGGTGAATATTTTCCTTGCTGGGGCAACAGTGTATTTACCGATTTCCAGTGGAGTTCTAGGGGGCTTTAGAGTAGCCTCCTTATTTTGATGTATTTTTCCCCATTGAGGTTCACTGAAATAGTTAGGGTTTGAGCGCTTCTACAGTAAGTCAAGCTGGTAAGATACTATATCTGCCTTGAAAGAATGTGTGGGCTCAGTGGAAACACTGGAATTCCAGTGCAAAAACTGAGCCTCTGCAAACAGGTGAAGTAAATGTGGCCTGTCCTTCAGCAGGTAATGAATGTTACCATGAACGTTTCTATGGGTGGGGGGAACAGTGCCAGTATTACTTCAAGAACTCAGGAAAATGACTGTTTCATCTGATCCCCAAAAGGCATGTATGTAGCCGAGATGTATTTAGTTTTAAAGTCATATTACCAAGTGAGCAGAAAGCAGCACAGCCATAGGTCAGGAATTCAGCATGAGGGTTCTGGAAACTCTCCCAATGTTGAAATTTGTAACCTCTGCAGTTCAATAGATTTTGTGCACTTTGATAGCTCTACTGCCCTTTGCCCCCCCTTTTTTTAATTCTACATTTTAATGCTAATCTTGTTTACACCTTGAAAAAAAATCCTCTGTATCCCTTGTGTATTGTATTACTGCTTTCATACTTTTTTTACATACATGCTTGAGGGCGGGGCGGGGCAGGGGGTGGACCAGGGATTAAGGAAACAAAAACCATTCAC